GCCTAAGACCCACAAGTCCAGCTGAGCTGTTTGTAGCAAGAATCATAAGACCCACAGACTTGGTGCCTGAGTGCAGCTCCGGGGAAGCCCTAGCCCCTTCCAGGCTGGGTAACTGCTCCTGCCTTCACTGTCTGTGCAGCGCTCACAGACACCTCCCTGGGGCCTGGCTGGCTGCCTTATCAGGACCTCTGAGTTTTCTGGCAAAAAAAAAAAAAAAAAAAAAAAAAAGAGTACAAGGAGATGAATTATGGTAATCATCAGGGACAGGGCTCCACAGTCTTCCTACTTTTAAACAGGGGGGTGTTCACAATTCTGTAGAGTTCTTGGGGCCTACAGAAAACCGGCTGACAGGAGTTAGCAAGAGCCCAGTATCACAGGGGGACCAGGAGGCACCCAGTGAATTTGATTCAGCTCCAAGAAGGGCTTCAGAGAAGAAAGTCTTGGGGTTTCAAGGAAGAAGGAGCTTGGACTGCTGACGCCTTTCGTCTACACCTGGTTTACTTGCCTTTCTATCCAGACCCCATGTCAAGCCTGCCAGTCAATTTTCTGCCCATGTGTCCTTCCATTCCATTCACTCCTGGAACATAGGGACATTGTGGGTTTCAAGTCACAGACCCAATTCAAAACAGTTTAAGCAAAAATAGGTAAAATGGGCTGGGTGTGGTGGCTCATACCTACAATCCCAGCACTCTAGGAGGCCAAGGTAGGAAGATCACTTGAGGCCAGGAGTTTGAGACCAGCCTGGGCAACACAGCTATCTCATCTCTACGTGTCACTGCTCTTTAAATCCTCATAATATGGTATTGCTCAAGGATTAAGTACTACCAAACATTGGAAATATAAGAACTTTTAGAATTCATGTGATTAAAACATGTGATGCTTTCCACTTGGGGTTAGCCAGTTTGAAAAGTTAAATTGAAATATGTCATGACTGATGAACTCCTTGAATCATCTGCACTTCCGGTCTCCGTGCCCCCCATCCCACCCACCCTAATCTGACTTCAGCTCCCTCCTCTCCCCTAAAACTGCACCCACCTCCATTGCCAGTGGTTTTCCTGCGTAATTCTCAGATCTGCGTGTCTTAAATTCTCAAAAGCATTGGGCAATGTGGATGACTTTTTAAAACTCTGGTTTGCCGGGCGCGGTGGCTCAAGCCTGTAATCCCAGCACTTTGGGAGGCCGAGGCGGGTGGATCACGAGGTCGAGAGATCGAGACCATCCTGGTCAACAAGGTGAAACCCCGTCTCTACTAAAAATACAAAAAGTTAGCTGGGCATGGTGGTGCGTGCCTGTAATCCCAGCTACTCAGGAGGCTGAGGCAGGAGAATTGCCTGAGCCCAGGAGGCGGAGGTTGCGGTGAGCCAAGATCGCGCCATTGCACTCCAGCCTGAGTAACAAGAGCGAAACTCCGTCTCAAAAAAAAAAAAAAAAGAAAGAAAGAAAACTCTGGTTTGTTCCCCAATCTTTAGCCACCCCAGCTGGTACTGCCTAAATTTCTCTTCCTCTGCCCGTCACTTAAATTTGGGGCTTGGCCAGGCATAGTGGTTCATGCCTGTAATCCCAGCACTTTGGGTTGCTGAGGGGCTAGGGGAAGGATAGCAGGGGGCAGGGGGATAGGGGAAGGATAGCATTAGGAGAAATACCTAACGTAGATGATGGGGTGATGGATGCAGCAAACCACCATGGCACGTGTATACCTATGTAACAAACCTGCATGTTCTGCACATGTACCCCAGAACTTAAAGTTTAATTAAAAATAAAAAAGATCCTATATCCTGGCTGGGTGCAATGGCTCATGCTGTAATCCCAGCTCTTTGGGAGGCTGAGGCAGGTGGATCACCTGAGATCAGGAGTTAGAGACCATTCTGGCCAACATGGAGAAAACCCGTCTTTACTAAAAATACAAAAATCAGTCTGGCAGGGTGGTGGGCACCTGTAATCCCAGCTATTCAGGAGGCTGAGGCAGGAGAATCACTTGAACCTGGGAGGAGGTTGCAGTGAGCCGAGACCAAGACATTGCACTCCAGCCTGGGCAACAAGAGCGAAACTCCGTCTCAACAACAACAACAAAAAAAGATGGTATATCCATTTGCCTCACCAACATTTACTACTTAAACCACCACCCCTTTCGCTCTCTGCTCTTGGTCATTCCGTTCCAGGCACCCACTGATCACACACTGATGTTCCTTATACTTGCTGCCGGGCGGTACCACCAGAGGGTCTTCACACTTGTCATTCCTTCTGCCATTCACGTGGCTCACTCTTTACCTTCTTTTTTTGTGTGTATGGCGGAGTTTCACTCTTGTTGCCCAGGCTGGAGTGCAATAGCGCAATCTCGACTCACCGCAACCTCCGCCTCCCAGGTTCAAGTGATTCTCCTGCCTCAGCCTCCCAAGTAGCTGGGATTACAGGTGTCCACCACCACGCCCAGCTAATTTTGTATTTTTAGTAGAGATGGAGTTTCTTCATGTGGTCAGGCTGGTCTTGAACTCCTGACCTCAGGTGATCTGCCCACCTTGACCTCCCAAAGTGCTGGGATTACGGGCATGAGCCACCGTACCCAGCCTTCTTTACCTTCTTATGTCTTTTCTCAGACGTCTTCTTTTCAGGGAGGCCTTCCCTAATCACCTTATGTACGACTAAACACCTAAATACACACCCCCTCACACACACACACACACACACACACACATACACAACTTCTTAATCTGTTTCCTTGCTTTGTTTTCATGCTTAGCACTTATCGCCATCTTCTTTACTATAATTTTATTTATTTACCCTATTTATTGTTGGTCTCCACTACCAGAAAGCAAGCTCTCTGCAGGCAGGGATTTTCCCCTACTGTTTGTTCACTATTGTATCCACAGCACCTGCCTAGCACAAAGGAGGCGCCCAATAAGTATCACTGAATGAAAGAGTAAATGAATGAATGAGTGAATGAATGAATGAATGAATGGCACCAAGATTCAATCCTTCCCACCTGTCCAGGTACATGTCCCACCTCTCCCCTGCTCGTCTTTGCATGCCAGGGCACACAGGACACTTGAGTCCCTGGCACACCCTAGCGTCATTTACCCTCCTGAACCTTTATCTATGCTGTGCCCTCATCCTCCTGGCTGGAGTCCCAGTCATTTTTATTACTTTTTTGAGACAGTCTCATGCTGTGACCCAGGTTAGAGTGCAGTGGTGCCATCATAGTTCACTGCAGCCTGAAACTCCTAGATTCAAGTGGTCTCCCAAGTAGCTGGGGCCACAGGTGCACACCACTACATTTAGCTATTATTTTTAAAATTTTTGTAGCGATTGCTCCAGGCCACCACTGCCTCTCAGCTGCACCACTACACAGTGTCCTGACTGTCTCCCTCCATCTTCTCCCACCCTTGCAACCATCTTCACCACAGATGCAGAGAAGTTATGAGGATGGCAAAGGGCAGACTGGAATTCAAAGCCAATGTGGAAAGGGGAGTTGGGTACATGAGTCTGGATTTCAGGGAAGAGGTCTGGATTTAAGATGCTAATGTCAGAGTCACTGGGTGGGTGGCTCATGCCTGTAATCCCAGCACTCTGCGAGGCCAAAGAGGACAGATCACTTGAAGTCAGGAGTTCGAGACTAGCCTGGGCAACATGTGAAACCCCGTCTCTACTAAAATTACAAAAAAAGTAGCCAGGTGTAGTGGTATGCTCCTGTAATTCCAGCTCCTTGGGTGGTTGAGGCACAAGAATCTCTTGAACCCGGGAGGTGGAGGTTGCAGTGAGCCAAGATCACACCACTCTACTCCAGCCTGGGTGACAGAATGAGACTCCATCTCAAAAATAAATAAATAAATAAAAATTAAATTAAAATGTGGGAGTTGCCAGGGTAAAAACATTTAAACACCGGTTGAAATCACCAAGGGAGTAAGTCTAGAGCAACACGAGAAAAGGACCCAGGACTAGCCCTGGAGCGCTTATTATTCAGCGTTTGGGGAATTGCAGGTGTCCACTATGATGCCCAGGCTGGTCTTGAACTCCCAGCCTCAAGTGATCCTCTAACCTTGGCCTCCCAAAGTGCTGAGATTACAGGCATGAGCCACCGCACCCGGCCTGGATCTCTGGTCTTTAAGATTTCTCTCAAGCAGGTGTCTGCTAACACCAAGTGAAACTCATGTGCCCGCTTCCCACCGAGTTTTTATGGTTTTTTCCTACTTAACACACATTGCAGTGGACTTCTGGAGTCTCTCTTTTTTTTTTCTGAGACGAAGTTTTGCTCTTCTTGCCCAGTCTGGAGTGCAATGGTGCCGTCTCAGCTCACCAAAACCTCCATCTCCCAAGTTCAAGCGATTCTCCTGCCTCAACCTCCCGAGTAGTTAGGATTACAGGCATGTGCCACCACGCCGGCTAATTTTGTATTTGTAGTAGAGACTGGGTTTCTCCATGTTGGTCAGGCTGGTCTCGAACTCTCGCCCTCAGGTGATCTGCCTGGCTCAGCCTCCCAAAGTGCTGGCTTACAGGCGTGAGCCACTGCGCCAGGCCTTGGAGTCTCTTTACTTAGCTGTCTCCCACGCCGCTCTGGGAGCCCCCTTGGAACGGGAACCTCGTCTTATTTCTTCTTCTTGGCTCAGTGCATGAACTTGGTTCAGTGCGTGGGTCACAACACCTGTTAAACCCACTTTAGGAATAGTGAGTGTGAGGGATTAGAGAGGCTAGAGTCGGGCACGGGGCAGACTAGAACTCCCAATCTGTTCTCTCAGACTCCAGATTCTAACTCTTTCACCTGAACATGAGCATGTCTCTGCTGTTCCCGAGCCTCAATTTCCTCTTGTTCTTGTTTTTTCATTTTTTACTATTTGCCTTGATTTCCTTAGACAGATTTTAGCCGTTGAATTGACTAACAACCATCCTACTTCAACCTATTGGGCAAATTGCCTCCTCGAGGGTCAAACACTATCCAATTTCAGTTTCCAAACGTCATAAAAGGGAAATTCTAAAAGCTGAGAATCGAAACTGACAGCAGAGAGATAGACTAGATGACAGGTTTTTTAAGGTGGCCCCAGACATTCCCACCTCAGCCCAGCATCCTCCTGTGCCTCTACACAGTGAGGTAGTCTCCAAGAAAGGGGACCCTGAGTCAGCCCATTACACCTGGTTTCCTATCTGCTAGGGTCATTCATCCCACGGAGCACTGGAGGGCAACTGAGGAGGAGCCGCCTTAACAAAGGGGTTGTGTGCCAGGGAGCTGGGTAGGTGTCTGGCTATATATCTGCCCAGCGCTGGTACTCTGGGTACAGAGATGGCACTGACACAGGAGCTGTATGCCACACCAGCCTCCAGGCTGGACTCCTTCGTGGCTCAGTGGCTGCAGCCCCACCGGGAGTGGAAGGAAGAGGTGCTGGACACTGTGCGGACTGTGGAGCAGTTTCTGAGGCAGGAGCATTTCCAGGGGGAGCATGGGCTGGACCAGGATGTGCGGGTGCCGAAGGTGATCAAGGTAAGACTGGGCTCCTCCAGTCCTCCACGCAGGACAAAACCCACTAGCAGAGTCCACATCCCTGAGGATGCTGGAGACCCCTGTCATCCTGATCCCTCGCCCATGCTGATGACATCTCAGGACACCCCACCCCACCTAGCTATCTACACCCCACTGCACCACTACCTTCAGCAGAATGAGTCTAATAATAATAGCTCACATTTGGGGCCTCACTAGCCGAAACTTTTAATATACACTCTCTAATTCTTGCAACCTGTGAGATAGGTAATACTGGTTTTTTTGTTGGGGGGTGGTTTGTTTTTGTTTTGAGATGGAGTTTCACTCTTGTTGCCCAGGGTAGAATGCAATGGTGTGATCTCGGCTCACTGCAACCTCCGTCTCCCGGGTTCAAGAGAAGCCTCCCGAGTAGCTAGGATTACAGGCATGCGCCACCATGCCTGGCTAATTTTGTATTTTTACTGAGACAGGGTTTCTCCATGTTGGTCAGGCTGATCTTGAACTCCTGACCTCAGGCAATCCACCTGCCTCAGCCTCCCAAAGTGCTGGGATTACGGGCGTGAGCCGTGGTGCCTGACCTGAGATAGGTACTCTTCTTTACAGATTAGCAAAATGGAGGCTCAGAACTAATACAAAGCAAGGTCCTTAGTTGGTTCCTGGTGTGAATGAACGATCTGTAAAATACAGTTTGAGAACAACGAGGAAATTTCCATATGGCCTAGATATCAGGGAGTATATATATGTGATGTAGGAAATTTGTTGATTTTTGTTAGGCGTAACAGTGGTTGTGCGGTTATCCAGGAGAAAGTTCTCTTTTGTTTGGACACTGACATATTCAGGGACAAAGTTCCTTGGTATCTGTAATTTACTTTAATGTGGCTTAGATTAAGCAAATGTAGTCAGAAATTGAGACTTGTCGAATCAACTAGTTGGGTATATGAGTGTTAGTTGTATCATCTATTTTTCTATATGTTTTAACTTTTTATAATAAAATGGCATTATTTTTTTAGCGATAGGGTCTCACTCTGTCACCCAGGCTGTAGTGCCGTGGCACAATAATGGCTCACTGCAGACTCCACCTCCCTGGGCTTAGGTGATCCTCTCACCTTAGCCTCCCAAGTAGCTTGGGGCTACAGGCTTGCACCACCATGCTCAGCTAATTTTTGTATTTTTTTGTAGAGACAGGGTTTCACCAATGTTGCCCATGCTGGTCTCAAACTTCTGGGCTCAAGAATATGCCCACCTCAGCCTCCCAAAGTGCTGGGATTACAGGTGTGAGCCGCCACACCTGGCCAGTAAAATGATTTTTTAAATGGAGGCTCAGAGAAATGAGGTGATTTGCCCAAGGTCACACATTAGTGTTGAAGCTGGGATTTGAACTTGACTCAAGGGATCCAAACCCCCCCTCACTGAGATTTTTCTCCAATCCCTTCCTCCAGCTGTTTCCTGCCATCTCCTGTGCTAGCTAGGATCAAATTCAAAAGGGTCAGTGCTAGAAAGGCTTTGGAGGATCAGACAGTCTCACCAATCTCTCACTTAAATATTAAGTAAACTGAGGCACAGAGAGGGTGAGAGATATCCCAAGATCACACAGCAAGTTGGTGGCAAAGGCAAGACTAGAATTAAGACTCCTGACTCCCAGCCCAGTGATCAAGTTCTCTCTCTGAGGGCAACCAGCTCACAGAGGGACCTAGACAGGCCCCCTGTCTGTTCTTCGCAGCTATCCCCAGCATATGAAGCCTGAGGCCATCCAATTTATAAGTGAGAAAGCACAGATTGTGATATCAGACAGACTCTTCGCTTCTTCCTGTACCAGCTGTGTGGCTTTGCTTACCACTCTTATTTCTCAAAGCCGCAATCTTCTCATCTGTGATTGGGGCATCATCATCCTCATCTGTCCCTCACCAGGCCAGTGGTGCGATGCAGGCTGAGTGACTGGTGTGTGATAAATGCTCAGAAACAGAAGCATCATTCTAATTCCTGCCAAGCTTTCTTCCGGGCCTGGGACACAAGTCTGACTCCGGCAGACCCTCCCAGACCACCCCCTCCCCAACAACCCTGAGAATAAACTGGAAGGAATAAGGAGTGTCTGGTAAGACAAGGATGCTACAAGAATGAGTTTTTTTGTTTTTGTTTTTACTTATTTGTTTTTGAGACAGAATCCTACTCTGTTGCCCAGCCTGGATTACAGTGGCGCACTCTTGGCTCACTGCAACCTCCACCTCCGGGGTTCAAGAGATTGATTCTCCTCTCTCAGCTTCTCGAGTAGCTGGTATTGCAGGAGTGTGCCACCACGCCCGGCTAATCTTCGTATTTTTTGTAGAGACAGTGTTTCACCATGTTGGCCAGGCTGGTCTTGAACTCCTGACCTCAAGTGATCCAACCATCTCAGCCTCCCAAAGCGCTGGGATTACAGGCATAAGCCACTGAGCCCGGCCGAGAATGAGTTTTCACGGCAGGAAATGCCATTTACCTTCCTGTACATCATAGCCACTTCTCCCGCTGAAACCACTAAATGGTAGCAATCCCCAGAGAGCCATGACTAATGAGAAATAATATATATTATTTAAAGTCTAAATCCTCCCTTTCCCCACCCCGTGAAAATCTAGTGAGCAGAGGGGCTCCACATAAGGGAATGCTTCAAATGAATTGCGCTTAAATAGGTTTAAAACCGAAGTAAATTAGGAAGCCTGTTCTGAATGTGTTCTTTTCTCTCTGCCTGGATCTTACCAGTGGGAAAGGCAGAAAGGGAAGTCCAGGCCAGGCTCGGTGGATCGCACCTGTAATCCCAGCACTTTGGGAGGCCAAGGTGGGAGGATTGCTTGAGCCCAGGAATTCAAGACCAGCCTGGGCAAAATGGTGAGACCCCTGACTCTACAAAAAAATGTAAAAAATTAGCTGGGCATGGTAGTGCGTGCCCATAGTTCAGCTACCCAGTTCCAGCTGAGGTGGGAGGATTGTGTAAGCCCAGGAGGCCGAGGCTTCAGTGAGTGAGGATTGTGCCATTGACTCCAGCCGGGGCGACAGAGCAAGACCCTGTCAAAAAAGAAAGGAAAGTCTAGACATGGCTTTGGGGGTTATGTCCTTCATTCACACACCGGGTGCCACCTCCAACCCTCTCCCATGGGGTGGAAGTGCTGGGTCTGAATGCCCATGGTACCTTGGAAGCAGGGCCTGGCTCACAGCCTTGGGTCACAAGGAAGAAAGAGGCAGAAGAAACACTCACTACTTGCGTTCTGGCTCTTTTGCTGACTCTGCTGCCTCCTGGCTGGGAGACCATGGCAAGCTGATTAACTCCACACTGCCTCAGCTTTCTCATCTGTGTATTGGAGAGAATTCTAGTACCCACCTCAATACGGGAAGTGAAGTTTTTTTTGGAGGGGGTTGTGGTTTTTTTTGTTTTTGTTTTTTTTTGAGATTTCGCTCTTGTTACCCAGGCTGGAGTGCAATGGCGTGATCTCGGCTCACCACAACCTCCGCCTCCTGGGTTCAGGCAATTCTCCTGTCTCAGCCTCCTGAGTAGCTGGGATTACAGGCACACGCCACCATACCCAGCTAATTTTTTTTTGGATTTTTAGTAGAGACGGGGTTTCACCATGTTGACCAGGATGGTCTCGATCTGTTGACCTCGTGATCCACCCACCTCGGCCTCCCAAAGTGCCGGGATTACAGGCTTGAGCCACCACACCTGGCCTGGTTGTGTTTTTTTGAGATGGAATCTCACTCTGTCGCCCAGGCTGGAGTGCAGCAGTGAGGTCTTGGTTTACCACAACCTCTGCCTCCTGGGTTCAAGCAACTCTCCTGCCTCAGCCTCCCCGGTAGCTGGTATTACAGGCACTCACCACCACACCCAGCTAATTTTTGTATTTTTATTTTATTTTATTATTTTTTCTTTTAGCTGGTGATCACAGAGAATTTTTTTTTTGTTTAATTTTCTTTTTTTTTTTTTTTTTGAGACGGAGTTTCGCTCTTGTTACCCAGGCTGGAGTGCAATGGCACGATTTCGGCTCGCCGCAACCTCCGCCTCCTGGGTTCAGGCAATTCTCCTGCCTCAGCCTCCTGAGTAGCTGGGATTACAGGCACGCACCACCATGCCCAGCTAATTTTTTTTTGTATTTTTAGTAGAGACGGGGTTTCACCATGTTGACCAGGATGGTCTCGATCTCTTGACCTTGTGATCCACCCACCTCGGTCTCCCAAAGTGCTGGGATTACAGGCTTGAGCCACCGCGCCCGGCCTTCTGTTTAATTTTCTTTTAATTTTTGTGTTTTTAGTAGAGACAAGGGTTTCACCATGTTGGCCAGCCTGGTCTCGAACTCCTGACCTCAGGTCTTCCATCCACCAAGGCCTCCCAAAGTGCTGGAATTACAGGCGTGGGCCACAGAGCCTGGGCAGGAAGTGAAGATTAGAAGGAATAATTGTATACAAGGCTCTCGGGGGTCCCAGACACAGGGCATGCTCAGCCTGTATTGTGTCATCTGGCAACAGCTGGATTCTGATTCATGTACAGTAACTCTATCCACCAGGAAAAGTAGCCCACTGTGGGTCTGATGCCTCCCTAGCAAGTCCACCTCCCAACACAGAATGAGGAGAGGAGAACAGACGGTTGTGGGGCTTTGCATACCAGAGGCAATAGGGCCTGGAGAGATCGTCTAGAATTTCCAAACATTAAAAAATCCCTTCGAAATCGTCCATCTCCACCCTCTTCCATTACTGATGGGAAAACCGACCCCCAAGACAGCAGAAGGAATTGTCTTAAGTCAGCTAGATAATGAGGAGAAAGTGACGTGTATTGCTGACTTCCTGCGTGCCAGGCACCCCACCCAACCCCTGGCATACATGATTTCATCCGATCCTCCCAGTAGCCCAATGACTTATGTCCCAGCATTACTTTCATTTTACAGGTGAAGGTCTTAAGAATCAGAATGTTTTACCCAGATAAGAAACAGGGAAGAGGGCCAGGCGCGGTGGCTCTTGCCTGTAATCCCAGCACTTTGGGAGGTCAAGGCAGGCGGATCACCTGAGGTCAGGAGTTCAAGACCAGCCTGACCAACATGGAGAAACACCCTCCCTACTAAAAATACAAAATTAGCTGGCCGTGGTGGCAGGTGCCTGTAATCCCAGCTGCTCAGGAGGCTGAGGCCGGAAAATCTCTTGAACCCAAGAGGCAGAGGTTGTGGTGAGCCAAGATCATGCCACTGGACTCCAGCCTGGGCACAAGAGCGAAACTCTGTCTCAAAAAAAACAAAATCAAAACACACACACAGGGAAGAGTCAAGATCTTTTTCAGGCTGCCCCATTTCACCGCCTGTGGATCTTAAATGCACTAGGCAAACTTCCTCTTGCTTTATAGTGCCATGAAATTACTCAGGCCCCCCACCCCCAGAATTCTCAAACAACCCTGCAGACTGAACGCTATCATTCCTCTGGAGCTGGCCTTACTCTGTGGATAAGAAGACTGGGTCTCAGAAGCAATGCAGTGTCATAGATAAGAGGCTGGGCACTTTGGGAGGCCAAGGGGGGCAAATCTCTTGAGTCCAGGAGTTGGAGATCAATCCTGGACAACACAGCAAAACCCTGTCTCTACAAAAAATACAAAAATTAGCCAGGCAGGTGGGCACAGGCCTGTAGTCCTAGCTACTTGAGAGGCTGAGGTGGGAGGATTGCTTGAGCCAAGATGGCGCCACTGCAGTCCAGCCTGGGCAATGGGAGTGAACTGTCACACACAGAAAAAAGAGGCTGGGCTCTGAGGGCTGCAAACTGTGAGATCTGGAACAAGTGACTAATGAGGAGAAAGAGCAATGTGTTGCTAACTTCCTGTGTGCCAGGCACCCCACCAAACCCCAGCATACATTATTTCATCTGATCCTCCCAGTAGCTCAGTGACTCATGTTCCACCATTACTTTCATTTTGTGGGTGAAGGTTGTAGGAGTCAGAATGTTTATCCAGATAAGAAGCAGGAAAGAGGCAGGATCTTTTTCAGGCTACCCCGTGTCTCGATCCCGTGTCTCGAGATCCTCAAGACATCTGTTTTCTGACCTGTGAAGTGTGGGTATTAGTCTGACCCACTACCCATCCCTCAGGGGGTGTGAGCATTCAGTGAGTGCATGTAAAGTGCTGCAGGGGGTGCCTGGCACACTGCAGCTGGCCTCAGGGTGACGGGGCTCTGTGTTCTGCAGGTGGGCTCCTTCGGGAATGGCACGATTCTCAGGCGCACAAGAGAGGTGGAGCTGGTGGCATTTCTGAGCTGTTTCCACAGCTTCCAGGAGGCAGCCACACACCACCAGGCTGTTCTGAGGCTGATAAGGAAAACCATGAGGCAATCCCAGGACCTGCTGGCTCTCGGGCTCGAGGACCTGAGGGTGGAGCAGAGAGTCCCCGATGCTCTTGTCCTCACCATCCAGACCTGGGAGGCTGCGGAGCCCATCACTGTCACCATCGTGCCTGCCTACAGAGCCCTGGGTAAGGGGAGGGGAAGCCCAGTGGACTCATACACTTGCCCTCCCCAGGAGACTTCCCAGTGTGTCACCTTTCACTCACAGCCACGTGCACACACCCACATTCATTCATTCGGTCTGCGTCCTGGGCTAGGGGCCGGGCTACTGAAGTGCACAGGATTCACCCAACTCTGGCTATCATGTGCTCGACTTGGAAGACAGAAATTGACCCAAGAATTGCACAGATTAATACGTAGTTGCAAATGGTGTCAATGCTAAGAGGAAAAGAATGGAGTAGCCTGGAGAACCACAGAAAGGGTGCTCAGGGAGGGACTTTCTCGGGAAAGAATATTTAGGACGCGCTGACACCCAGTGAGGGGAAGGAGCTAAAAGTGGGAGTGGGGGGTCTGTCACTGCGTTTTCTAGAAGCTGATCTGAAGACAAGGGTGTGAGGACAAGCAGTTTATTTGGGCGTTAATCCCAGGGAGCACTGGTGGGGAAGGATGGAATTGAGAGGGGAAAGGCAGGAATTCAATACAGTGTGCATCCGTGGGCAAGTCACCTCTCTGGATTTCGTGTCCTTGGAGAACTCGCAGTCATATTTTAGAGCATGCCTCCATGGGGGGCCAAGTGGGATGCTGGAGTGCTTACCGGCCCACCACTGGGGCTGCTTCCGGGAGCACTAGCTCACTGGCCCCTGGTGCTTGCCCTCCGGTAGAGTCCTGGGTATTTGAAGTAAACCCTGTGTGCTGAAAGCCCAGATCCCAGAGGTTTCATCTCATGTGCTAGCTCCTATCAGCTGTGGTGGCTGCTGCATGGAGTTGCTTTTTGGAGAAGGTATCAGACAGGATCCGATTTTAGCAAGGAAGGGAGTGCTGGGATGTCTTAGTGATGTGTACCATGGAACTGCTTCTCCCTGTGAGTATTTTCTTCTTTCTTTCTTTCTTTTTTTGAGACTGAGTCTTGTTCTTTCACCCAGGCTGGAGTGCAGTGGCACGATCTCGGCTCACTGCAACTTCCATCTCCTGGGTTCAAGCAATTCTCCAACCTCAGCGTCCCGAGTAGCTGGGATTACAGGCACCTGCCACCATGTCACGCCCAGCTAATTTTTGTATTTTTAGTAGATACAGGGTTTCACCATGTTGGCCAGGCTAGTTTCAAACTCCTGACCTCAGGTGATCCACCTGCCTCGGCCTCCCAAAGCGCTGGTACTACAGGCTTGAGCCACCATGCCCAGCATCCCTATAAGCATTGAGAGATTCCAACAGATTACCCAGAAAGAGATCCAAAACAGACATTAAAGAAAACAAGGACATTGAGGACATCCAGGAAGGACAATCGTCCAGGAGTGGCCTGATGCATGGAAAGCCCCATGTCGGTTCCCGAAGTAAGAACTTCACAAGAAGGACAATTAGACAAGGCAAACCTTTGGTTTCTGAAGATAGGAGGTCTCAAGTGTCCCTGGAGGGATAACTCCAATGAATAAGCAGGCTCTCCCTCACTCCTCAGGGCCTTCTGTTCCCAACTCCCAGCCACCCCCTGAGGTCTACGTGAGCCTGATCAATGCCTGTGGTGTTCCTGGAAGTTTCTCCCCATCCTTCAGTGAGCTGCAGAGAAACTTTGTGAAACATCGACCAACTAAGCTAAAGAGCCTCCTGCGCCTGGTGAAGCACTGGTACCAGCAGGTGAGGGGGCTGCCGGGAGGCGGGGGCAAGCAGGGAGAGGGAGGAGGGTGGGAAGGAAAGACAGGGCCTGATTGTCCTCTCAGGAAACTGCACCCAGGGGAAATGGAAGTGGGTAGAGAGGGAGAGAATGCTAGTCTTTTGAAATCTAAAGTGAAACCCTCAGTGAAGACGGTGGAAAAGGAGAAGGAGAGGAGGAAGAAGGAAATAGAGAAGGAAGGAGAAAAACAGGTACCGTACAGTATTTCAGTAAACTAGTTTTTTTTTTGTTTTTTTTTTTTGAGGCAGGATCTCGCTTCGTTGCCCAGGCTGGAGTGCAGCGATGCGATCACCACTCACTGTAGCCCCCACCTCCCTGGATCAAGTGATCCTCCCACCTTAGCCCCCTAAGTAACTGGGACTAGAGGCATGCACAATCATGCCTGGCTAATTTTTTTATTTTTCTTTTGTAGAGACAGGGTCTCACTGTGTTGACCAGCCTGGTTTTGAAGTGGTCTCAAGCGATCCTCCCACCTTGGCTTCCCCAAATGCTGGGATTACAGGAATGAGCCACCACACCCAGCCCACGGTTCTTGCAATGCTTCAGTTACAGTCTAGCACTGGCAGGTGTCAACATCGCTGGGTACTGTGGCCGTTAACCACAGCAGGTTAAGGACCAACAGGAGGAAGGATTTCTTTAATTCCACCCGAGGAGTGGAAAAGAGGGCATGTGTGAGTGTAAACAGCTTCTAGGGACATTTCTCAGGCAACAGCTCAGTCAGTTTTAGAAGCAAAAATCTCCCCCAAGACAATAAATGGAACCTCCAGTTGCAAAACAAAACTCAGAGACAAAAATCATTTATTGACCGGGCGTGGTGGCTCATGCCTGTAATCCAAGCACTTTGGAGGCCAAGGCGGGCGGATCACCTGAGGTTGGGAGTTCAAGACCAGCCTGACCAACATAGTGAAACCCCGTCTTTAAAAAAAGAAAAGAAAAGAAAAAGCTGGGCGCGGTGGCTCAAGCCTGTAATCCCAGCACTTTGGGAGGCCGAGGCGGGTGGATCACAAGGTCAGGAGATCGAGACCATCCTTGTCAACATGGTGAAACCCTGTCTCTACTAAAGGTGCAAAAAATTAGCTGGGCTTGGTGGCGCATGCCTGTAATCCCAGCTACTCAGGAGGCTGAGGCAGGAGAATTGCCTGAACCCAGAAGGCGGAGGTTGCGGTGAGCCGAGATCGTGCCATTGCACTCCAGCCTGGGTAACAAGAGCGAAACTCCATCTCAAAAAATAAAATAAAATAAATAAATAAATAAATAAATAAATATAAATACAAATAAATCATTTATTATGTAAAACTTACAGAGGAGTTACCAGGGAATCAGACAGCAGAAGGAAAGATTTGAGCCAATAAAAATAAAATATAACAGGGATTTAAAGAAAAAATAATTAGTGGCCAGATGTCGCAGCTCATGCCCATGATTTCAGCACTTCAGGAGGCTGAGATAGGCGGATCACTTAAGGGTTCAAGACCAGCCTGAGCAACATGGTGAAACCCTGTCTCTACAAAAATACGAAAATTAGCTGGGCATGGTGGCAGGCACCTGTAGTCCCAACTGCTCTAGAGGCTGAGGCTGAAGGATTACTTGAGCCGGGAGGTGAAGTATGTTGACCTGGGTTTTTTTTATCCATTTACTAAGGTTTACATCTTACCGATGACAGGCATCCTACAGTTTATATATCATCTAAGTTTTAAGAATGTAACATTTCACCAGTATTGGAGAAAATAAGTTGTACCACCATAAGTTTAAATTCCTAACAAAATTATAATGTTATTAGTTATGATTTACAAAACTGAGTATTAAGTATGAATTTGCAAAAAGTCACAAAACAAATTCATTAACTTGCAAATAAATTTGAATTTAAAATTGAATTTCTAAAGTCAGGGATAAAGTGTTTTTGTTAGTGAGTCAGTGACCTATAGGGGAGGCCCAAGCTTTCATTTATTTGGGAGGTGAGAATTATACAAGATGATCCTTTTTTTGATTTGTTTGTTTCAAGGCCAAAGTGTTACAGTTTTTTTCCCTCTGGCTGTGGAATGTGATATAATACTTATATTTATATAATATTTATATGGCCATAGGAAAATATGTCAGTTTTGCTTCCACAAACCAGACCACTGAATATTTGACCAAAATTTTTACTTTCTATCAATGTATCAGTGAGATTCTTTTTTTTTTTTTTTTTTTTTTGAGACAAGATCTTACTGTCACCCAGGCTGGAGTACAGTGTGTGACCTTGGCCCACTGTAACCTCTGCCTCCCAGATTCAAGCAATTCTCCCACCTCAACCTCCCAAGTAGCTGGGATTACAGGCATGTGCCACCATGCCTGGCTAATTTTTGTATTTTTAGTAGAGAAGGGTTTCACCAGGTTGGCCAGGCTGGTCTCGAACTCCTGAACTCATGATCCACCCGCCTCAGCCTCCCAAAATGCAAGGATTATAGATGTGAGCCTCAGTGAGATTCTTAACACAGGAAGTGACCAGCATCCGTTAAGATGCTTTCTTTCGTAAGTCAGAGAAAAACACAAAAACCAACTCAAACTAGCTTAAACAATATAGGGAATTATCAGCTTATGTATGAAAACCCCTAAATAGGGCCGGGCGCGGTGGCTCAAGCCTGTAATCCCAGCACTTTGGGAGGCCGAGGCGGGTGGATCACGAGGTCGAGAGATCGAGACCATCCTGGTCAACATGGTGAAACCCCGTCTCTACTAAAAATACAAAAAATTAGCTGGGCATGGTGGTCCGTGCCTGTAATCCCAGCTACTCAGGAGCCTGAGGCAGGAGAATTGCCTGAACCCAGGAGGCGGAGGTTGCGGTGAGCCGAGATCGCGCCATTGCACTCCAGCCTGGGTAACAAGAGCGAAACTCTGTCTCAGAAAAAAAAAAAAGAAAACCCCTAAATAGTGGGGAGGGGGCTGCAGGCACTGTTTGGAGAGGGCACTGGCTCTGTTTCTCTGGAATCTTCTCAGCTTCTCAGTCCTCTGTATGTCAACTTGATCCTCTGGCTTGTTTCCCTCTTGGTGGCAAAATAGCCACAGCTGTTCCTGCCCTCATATCCACACACAAGAGGACTTCCCTTCTTTCAACCACTGAACAAAATAACTAGGCTTTACTCTAGGGAGCCAAATTAGATGGCATGCCTTCTCTTGAGCCAATCACTTGCAAGCAGAAAGGTTTATGCTGATAGGCCTGTGCCAGTCATGGCCCATCCTGGAGCTGAGGGTGGGGGTCGACCCCTTCCAAACATCATGGCTTCTGTGCAGTGGGGAAGGAAAGAATGTCTGCTAGAGAGGCAACTCCAATCTTTACTACAGAATCTCGCCTATTACCATGTTTCCCTTCTATCGAAGGAAGCCTTTCCTTTCTTTAAAGAAGCATTTCTTGGCAGCTCAATGCATTAAAATCGATTTCAATGGAACTGCTTAGGCTAGGATGCTGTGACAGAGCACAGGCTGCTCACTCCTTTGGACACCTGCTCATAACTTCATTTCGGGAGTTACATTTGTCAAGCACATACTGAAGCCCAATGGACGAACTCAGCCGTTTAATTCTAAAATGGTGAAACCTATGTCCAGAGATGGAAGGTGACTTGGCCAAGATCACATAGTCAGTAGGCAGCAGAGCCAGGTCTAGAACTTGGATTTCTCAGCTTCTGGTCCAATGCCATCCTGACACAGAATCTCAGGGTCTCTCTTTCTTCCCATCTCTTTCAACAGTATGTGAAAGCCAGGTCGCCCAAGGCCAATCTACCCCCTCTCTACGCTCTCGAACTACTAACCATCTACGCCTGGGAAATGGGTACTGGGGAAGATGAGAATTTCATGTTGGATGAAGGCTTCACCACGGTGATGGACCTGCTCCTGGAGTATGAAGTCATCTGTATCTACTGGACCAAGTACTACACACTCCAGAATCCAGTCATCGAGGATTGTGTCAGAAAACAGCTCAAAAAAGAGAGGTACCGGACCACTCTTTGCCCACCAAATCTCAGAGGAAAAGAAAGAGGAGCTGATGAAATGTAGCGTAGAGTGTTATGGACTGGCTGTAGTAAGCAGTAAGGTTGCCACCAGTGTTGAGCATTGACATCTCACGCCAACGCAGCTGGCATCTCAAGTTGGTGGCTTATCAAAGTCACCGGGAGGGGCCATGGAGTGGGTATAAGCCTGTTCCTTGTTTCCTAAGCCACCCTCCCCCTTAGCTCGGCCCTCTTGCTCTCCGACGACCATTTCAGTACTTTGTAGCAGCTAGCATGAGAAAATGGAAAGAATCATGGAGACTCAGGTTGAAATCCCAGCTCAGCCATTCTCCCACCGCTGTGAGCCTCAATCCCTTATCCATAAGGTGGGAGTAAACTGGTACCTACGATACGGTATTGATGCGAGGGTTGGAGAAAATCTGTGTTAAGGATCCACAATACGGAGCATCTGGCAGATGCTGCGTAAACACTCACACTGGAGAGTGTGCTGTCTGCGTCCCATTCATATTCCCTCGGCCTTTACTCTCCGGGGACGGTTGGCTCCACTTCCAAGTGCTGCCACCTGCATCCCTTTGCCTGAGCTTTCCCCGCACCAACAGACCCACCCTGAAAGCAGCCCTCCACTGGTGGTAGGAGTTGGTGGATAAACACCACAGCTCCCTCGCCCCAAAGATGGATCTTTTTTTTTTTTTTTTGAGACAGAGTCTCCCTCTGTCGCCCAGGCTGGAGTGCAGTGGTGCAGTCTCGGCTCACTGCAACCTCTGCCTCCTGGGTTCTGGCGGTTCCCCTGCCTCAGGCTCCCGAGTGCTGGGATTATAGGCACCCACCACCACATCTAGCTAATTTTTGTATTTTTGTAGAGACGGGACTTTGCCATGTTGGCCAGGCTGGTCTTGAACTCCTGACCTTAGGTCATGTACCCACCTCAGCCTCCCTAAGTGCTGGGATTATAGGCGTGAGCCACCGTGTCTGGCTCCATTCCATACTCTTTCCCAAAGGTCCCTCCAGTTGAAGTAATTACGGTAGTAATTACTTCAGTATCCACCCTTTATTGTTCGCCTTCCCTTATCTGTCTCACTGCCTCACTCCTTTATTCAGGCTTCTTAGGATCACTTTGCAAACAAGCCAGATCCTTATCTGGGAATCTGCTTCTGGGGATGCCCAACCTAAGCAACCCCCTACGTTAGAGGCTGTGGGCCTGTGTAAGCAACTTCACAATTTTTAGTGTTCTGTTATGTGAGTATTGGATCTTTTTTGTAAGGAAGAAAAGCCAGGTCTGCTCGTGAAAAGAGGATTTATGATAACCATGCCCAGAAACACTGGGGAAGCACCCGGACCTGAGACTCCCTCTCTCTGTCACTCTCTCTCATGACCCGTCAGCACTTTCCCCCTCAGCCTCGGCTTCTCTCTCCACACCTGTCCTGCTCCCCTCTGCCTCCCAGGTAGTGAGGGACCTCCATCATCCCTGTGTCCAAACCCTAGAGGGAACCAGTCTGATTGCTGGACACAGGACACAGGCCCTGCGTGTTGGGTCGCTGCCAGCCAACAGAATGAGCCAGTTTATATCAGTGACCTTACCCCATAGGCCAGCCTGGCAATTTCAGGCAGGACTGTTCAGGAAGCAGTCACTGTTGGGAAGAGCCAGCCTGGAGCCTAAAGTCCAGTTCATGCCAGTAGCCTGTATCATATTCTGTTACATAGATAAAATCGCAGCTCCCTCCCAAGCCCTGGAGTACAAAGGGCTGATTTTTTTTTTTGGAGACAGAGTCTTGCTTTACCACCTAGGCTGGAGTGCCGTGGCACTATCTTGGCTCATTGTGGCCACCACCTCCTGGGTTCAAGCGATCTCCCGCCTCAGCCTCCCAAGTAACTGTCACCATGCCCTGCATAATTTTTGTATTTTTTGTAGAGACGGGGTTTTGCCATGTTGGCCAGGCTCATTTTGAATTCCTGACCTCAAGTGATCTGTCCAACTCAGCCCCACAAAGTGCTGAGATTACAAGCGTGAGCCACCACACCCTGACCAAAGAGCTGGTCTTAATCACGGGCTTGCAGTCACCCCAAGTTACTAAGCAGGCTCAAGATCCCCTTCAAGCCAATATTCTTTAAAATATTTATTCAACATTCATAGAAAGGAGAGACTCTTGGGGGCAGCCCAAACTCTGCTCTGTTGAGCGGTGTTGGAAATAGATGCTCGGTGCTGCAAAGAAAATCAGCACTGAGACAAAGGATTTTTTAGCAATGCAATTTTTACTTCCTGGACTGCAGGAAGGGTACTGCTACTAGCTATTTTGCCACAAGAGTGCAGTGAGCAAAGGAAAAGCAGACAAATTTATCCCTTACGCATTTGGGGTTGTTCTTACCGCTGTGTTTGATCTCCGTTGGTTGGAACCAGACCTTAAAATCTAAACTAAAACCCGACTGGCTAATAACTCAAAACTTTTTTAAACAGGTAAAAGCACTGGAGAGCTGGGACATGCCTGTGAGCATGTCCAGCACAGATATCTTGGTTCAAATAAAAGGACATAGAATGTACTACGTGCCTGTAAGCATAGCAGTCTAACAACTACATAGGATGGGGTTTAACATGGCTGGGCGTGGTGGCTCATGCCTATAATCCAAGCACTTTGGAGGCCAAGGTGGGCAGATCACCTGAGGTCGAGAGTTCGAGACCAGCCTGACCAACATAGTGAAACCCCGTCGTTAAAAAAAAAAAAAGGATGGGGCTTAACAAAGAGTCATTAGCACACTTATGATTTATTTTTTAACAAGAAAGGAAACTTTAAAAGGGAAATTTCTACTTCCCACAAGGAGGTAAATGGGGAAGAGCCCCATCTACTGGCTGTAAGAACTTAGGGAGATGTGTAAAAAATGAGACAACCTCAACAAGGAAAGCAACCGTCCCTACCTGATAGAGCTGCTGTAAGGATTGAAAGAGGTTAATTTGCATAGGATTTGGCCTTGTGCTTCAATAGGTATCAGTAGCTGGTGTTGGTGATGTTTCTTTTTTTTTTTTTTTTTTTTTTTTTGAGACGGAGTTTCACTCTTGTTGCCCAGGCTGGAGTGCAATGGCGCGATCTCGGCTCACCGCAACCTCCGTCTCCTGGGTTCAGGCAATTCTCCTGCCTCAGCCTCCTGAGTAGCTGGGATTACAGGCACGCGCCACCATGCCCAGCTAATTTTTTGTATTTTTAGTAGAGACGGGGTTTCACCATGTTGACCTGGATGGTCTCGATCTCTTGACCTTGTGATCCACCCACCTCGGCCTCCCAAAGTGCTGGGATTACAGGCTTGAGCCACCGCGCCCGGCTGGTGGTGTTTCTATCATCCAAAGCAATTCAGCAGCTCTAATCTTAAACTTGCAAAGCCTGCTCTGAACGTAAAGGCCCCCCCTGCCCGAATGGGCATCTGTTACTCCTCTAGCATGCCTCTTGGAGCCTCATTCTCCCCCACAATTCCTTGCAAACACCCCAGGCATTCTCCCAGAGGGGAATTATTATTTTCTTTCTTTTTTCTTTTTCTTTCTTTCATTCTTTTTTTTTTTTTTTTTTTTTTTTTTTGAGACAGTCTCGCTCAGTCGCCCAGGCTGGAGTGTGGTGGTACAATCTTGGCTCACTGCAATCTCCGCCTCTGGGTTCAAGAAATTCTCCTGTCTCAGCCTCCCGAGTAACTGGAATGACAGGTGTGCACCACCACACCTGGCTAATTTTTTGTATTTTTGGTAGAGACGGGGCTTCATCATGTTGGCCAGGCTGGTCTTGAACTCCTGAGCTCAAGTGATCCTCCCGCCTCTGCCTCCCAAAGTGCTGGGATTACAGGCATGAGCCACCGTGCCTGGCCCAGACAGGAATTCTTGGAAATAGGATTGTCTCCATCCTGTTACTCTTCTGCCGCGATTGGGGCCCTCCTGAACATCTGCAGGATATGGACATCGCGGTGGCTCAGTGACTGGACTAAATAATTGCTGAGAAAGTTTTTTTTCTGGCTTGAAGGCTCCAAACCATTACAAGCCTGGGCACCCTTTCCCTGTGTTGCAGGCCTATGATCCTGGATCCTGCTGACCCCACCCACAATGTAGCAGAAGGGTACAGATGGGACATTGTCGCTCAGAGGGCCTCCCAGTGCCTGAAACAGGACTGCTGCTATGATGACAGGGAGAACCCCATCCCCACCTGGAACGTGAAGGTAACGGCTCCTCTCTGGGCAGTCAAGGGCTGGAAACTGAGAATGGCAGATAAGTACGCAGCATTGACTCATTCAGTTCTGTGCCGACGGAGAGCAGAACCCGAGTCACCGTGTGAGGCCCCACCGTACCACCACCGGCTCTGTCAACGTAGACAAATTCTTTGGCTCTCAGAGCCTCGGGTTTCTGACCTTCAAGTTCTGGTTCTCCTTTCCTTTATTTTTCCTGTAACCCACTGGAGAATCAGTTTCGTGTTCCTGATAATTCTTTGCATCAGTTGGGTCCAGCCAAGTCAACTCAGCCACTCTGTGCCAGGGCTGAGCTCAGGGACGGGGGTGGGAGTGGGGGCTGGGGGACCACACAGGCCCCCGACTCGGCCGGGCACGGTGGCTCACACCTGTATTTCAGCACTTTGGGAGGCCAAAGCAGGCGGATCACTTGAGGTCAGGAGTTCTAGATCAGCCTGGCCAACATGGCAAAACCCTGTCTCTTCTGAAAAAAATACAAAATTAGCCAGGTGTGATGGCAGGCACCTGAAATCCCAGCTACTCGGGAGGCTGAGGCAGGAGAATCTCTTGAACCCTGGAGGCAGGGGCTGCAGTGACCTGAGATCAAGCCATTGCACTTCAGCCTGGGTGACAAGAGGGATACTCTATTTTAAAAAAAAGAGACATGACCCAAACTTTCAAAGAACTCACCCTATGTTGCTAGGAAGCAAATCCATGAAACAAACTTATACCAAACTGCTAGAATTACCAGAGAAGACAAGATATTCTAAAAACAAACAAAAACGCGAAGTCATATTATTATGTAATGTGAAACCCACGGCACAGGCAGAGATCACAATCATCTATTTCATTCACATCACACTTTCTAGTTTGCAACGTGCTTGTCCAGGGTCCATCTCAGTTGATCCTCACGTGCGGTTCTGTAGAGTAAGAAGGCCGAGTATTGGCCGGGCGCGGTGGCTCAAGCCTGTAATCCCAGCACTTTGGGAGGCCGAGGCGGGTGGATCACAAGGTCGAGAGATCGAGACCAACCTGGTCAACATGGTGAAACCCCGTCTCTACTAAAAATACAAAAAATTAGCTGGGCATGGTGGTGCGTGCCTATAATCCCAGGAGGCTGAGGCAGGAGAATTGCCTGAACCCAGGAGGCGGAGGTTGCAGTGAGCCGAGATCGCGCCATTGCACTCCAGCCTGGGTAACAAGAGTGAAACTCCGTCTCAAAAAAAAAAAAAAGAAAAAAAAAAAAGAAGGCCGAGTATTGCCACTATCTTTATTATCATCATCATCGTCATTATCACTATTATTTTACAGAAGAGAAAACTGAGGCTCAGAGAGGTTAATTAACTAAGGTCACACTGCTAACAGGCTGCAGAACCAGAGGCTCTGGGGGTCTGGAAGCAGAATAAATGTTCACTGAAGTCACCAGAGAAGATTCCTTAAAGAAGCCAGGGGTTGAGGTGAGCCCTAAAAGACAGGGAAAGATACGGACACTCAGAACAGAGGACAAAGTATGATGAGGGGCCAAGGATGGGAGTCTGGGATGAGCAAGATGTTTATAGGAACAGGAGACTGACCTACTTGGAGCAGAAGGCGGAAGCAGAATCAGAGGTTCCAGTAAGGTACAGAGAGTTATAAACGGCGACCTACCAGCCAGATGAGGAGGCCTACCCATGGGCTGGAAAATCTATGCCTCTGGATTTTTCCTGAATATAAAAACCACTGTAGGCTGGGGGCGGTGGCTCATGCCTGTAATCCCAGCATTTGGGGAGGCTGAGGCAGGTGGATCCCTTGAGCCCAAGAGTTCGAGACCAGCATAGGCAACATGGTGAAACCCTGTCTCTATCGAAAATACAAAACTTAGCTAGATGTGGTGACACGCACCTGTGGTCCCAGTTACTCAGGAAGCTGAGGTGAGAGGATCGCTTGAGCTTAGAAAGTCAGGGCTGCAGTGAGCTAAGACTGTGCCGCTACACTGCAGCCTGGGTAACAGAGCAAGGCTCTGTCTCAAAAAATACAAAACAAATACACAAAAAATTGTGCAAAGATTTTTTATCTCGACAAATCAGAAAACTTGGCAATGCCAGACTTACAATTCTTCTTTCTTTCTTTTTTGTTCTTTTGGGTTTTTTTGTTTTGTTTTTTTGAGATAGAGTCTGGCTCTGTTGCCCAAGCTGAAGTGCAGTGGTGTGATCTCAGCTCACTGCAACCTCTACCTCCTGGGTTCAAGCGAGTCTCCCATTTCAATCACCCGAGTAGGTGGGACTACAGGCACACGCCACCATATCTAGCTAATTTTTGCATTTTTTTTGGTAGAGATGGGTTTTGCTATGTTGCCCAGGCTGGTCACAAACTCCTGACCTCAAGTGATCTGCCCACCTCGGCCTCCCAAACTGCTGGGATGGCAGCCATGAGCCTCTTCACCGAGCCAAGGCTTATATTTTTTCTAGAAAGAATCAGCTAGAGGCCTGACCCTCATGAGCATTTTCCAGGTGCTCTCCAGCCACCTGGGGCCCTCAGGCCCTGGACTGTAGCCTCTGGTGGTGGTGAGAACACAGACTCTGGAATCTGCCCTGCTCCTTACTACCTTTGTGACTGGTGTTCAGTAAATTACTTAACCCTGCTCAACCAGTTTCCTCATCAATAACATGGGGATAACAGTAGAATCAGCCAACTAACAGACATGCTCTGAGAATACAATGCATTAAGGGTATGGAAGATGCCCAGCATACCACCTGAAAGTGGTTACCACTCCCTAAACATTTGCCGCTGCTGCTGCTGCTATCATAAAGGTAAGGACAGATGAAGGGAATGTCTGCACATCAGACAGAGAAGTGTGGACTTAACACCTCTCCTTCTCCCTCTTCCTTCCAGAGAGCACGAGACATCCATGTGACAGTGGAGCAGAGGGGTTACCCCGATTTCAAGCTCATCGTGAACCCTTATGAGTCCATAAAGAAGATTAAAGATAAAATCCGGAGGAGCAGGGGTTACTCTGGCCTGCAGCGTCTGTCCTTCCAGGTTCCTGGCGATGAGAGGCAGCTTCTCAGCAGTCGATCCTCCTTAGCCAAATACGGGATCTTCTCCCACACTCGCATCTATCTGCTGGAGGCCATCCCCCCCGAAATCCAGGTCTTCGTGAAGAATCCTGATGGTGAGAGCTACGCCTATGCCATCGACCCCAAGAGCTTCGTCCTGGGTCTGAAGGAGCAGATTGAAGACCAGCAGGGGCTGCCTAAAAAGCAGCAGCAGCTGGAATTCCAAGGCCAAGTCCTGCAGGACTGGTTGAGTCTGGGGGGCTATGGCGTCCAAGACAGTGACACCCTCATCCTCTCTAAGAAGAAAGGAGGAACGGCTCTGTTTCCAGCCAGCTAGTCTCCTCTGGGAAACTTCTCTGTACATTTCTGCCGCCTACTCCAGAACTCATTCTGTGAACCACTCTGTCCCATTGTTTACTGGGTAGGTCCCAGGTCTTCACCAGCTTTATGACGAGTTATCCCAAGCCAGACGCGGTAGCTCACACCTGTAATCCCAGTACTTTGGGAGGCCGAGGTAGGAGGAATGCTTAAGCCAAGGAGTTCAAGACCAGCTTGGGTATCATAGGAAGACCCCGTCTCTACAAAATAAAAAAATAAGCAGTTGGGTGTGGTGGTGTGTGCTTGTAGTCTCAGGTACTCAAGAGGCTGAGGCAGAAGGATGGCTTGAGTCCTGGAGGTTGAAGCTGCAGTGAGCTATGATCACACCACTACACTCCTGCCCAGGCAACAGAGCAAGACCTTGTGTCTAAAAAATAAAAATAAGTAAATTTGTTTAAACATAGAATTATCCCAGCCCTGCCACGAGGAGGATGAGAGACTGAATGTACAAATGGACAGTGGCCACACCACCTACGACAATAGAATTCTGACCCACGATCCATCAACCCCAAACCATCAGGACTTGGTCAATAACTGCTCGATTCTCTAATTCCCCGCCCCACTCCCATTCCACTTCCAATTTAAGACCAACCAAGAAAACCAAATAAGCTCCCAAGACCAATCACATGGTTAGCCCTGCTTCTAGCCACTTCTCCACACCAACAGCCTCAGTCAGGGCGTCCCTGAAGCCTTCCCATTTTCCTGCCTGTATTTAAATCTCTGTCAAAGGCAAGAGATGGTGGCTGGTTCCTATCTGCTGGAGACCATCCCCCTGCCAGATCCAGGTCTTCCTGAAGGATCCTGATGGTGAGAGCCACGCCTATGCCATCGACCCTAACAGCTTCATCCTGGGTCTGCAGGGTGAATTCCCAATCGGAAACTGGGAATGAACAGCCTTTGTTCGTTCTCATTTGGATGCTCCTTATTTTCACAGGGCCTAATGCTGTCCTCATGGTTATTGCTTGATTATTTGAGCTTTTCAACTCCCAAGGAACGAGGACTGGGAAAACTGAGGCAAAAGGAGACAAAGAATAGGAGACCGAGGATGAAGCAGTGTAAAAAAAATCGCCACAACTCCTAAAACCCATACACAAACAGTGCGTAATAGTCAGGAAACTGTAGGAAAATAACAGCGTCTTTATTATCAAAGGACATCATGTGATCGGGTTTACTCCAAGCAATACAAAGTTTCCTTTTGCCCTCCCGTTTTGTCCCGCTTTCTACTGGGCTACTCACCTACCATAGCATAGAAAATGCACGTTGCAATTGGTTCTCAACAGCCTCTGGTCAATTCGGCAATCATAATCGGTATATTTCCCACTTCTATTTGCCTTCAGGGACAGAAAGAGTGCCTCCTTTCCAGAAGGCTGGTCCAGTCCCCATCCCTGTGTCCTTCATAATGCCCAGTACAGCCCATATTGTAGGCGGCGAGAAAATTCTAGTTTAACAAAAAAGAATGGCCAGGCACGGTGGCTCACACCTGTAATCCCAGCACTTTGGGAGGCCGAGGCAGACGGATCACAAGGTCAAGAGATCGAGACTATCCTGGCCAACCTGGTGAAACCCCATCTCTACTAAAAATACAAACAATTAGCCAGGCATGGTGGTGTGTGCCTGCAGTCCCAGCTACTCAGGAGGCTGAGGCAGGAGAATTGCTTGAAACCGGAAAATGGAAATTGCAGTGAGTTAGGATTGCACCACTGCACTCCAGCCTGGTGATAGAGTGAGACTCTGTCTCAAAAAAAAAAAAAAAAAAAAAAAAAAAAAAAAAAAAAGAAAGAAAGAAAAAGAAAAAGGCAATGTCTTAGTTCATTTGGGCTGCTATAACAAAATACCATACACTGCATGGCTCATAAACAATAACCATTTATTTCTCACTGCTCTGGAGGCTGGGAAGTTCAAGTCAAGTCACCGGCAGGTTTGGTGTCTGGTAAGGCCTCTTTCTGATTCATACATGGCAGCTTCCCACTGAGTCCTCACATGGTGGAAGGGGTAAAGATGTCTCTGGGGTCTCTTTTATGAAGGCATTAATCCAGTTCATGGGCCCTCACACACATATGCCTGTCACAGAAATTATCTCAAGAAATTCCTCAAAACCACAGTATTACAGATAAGCCCCTTGTACAAGGATGTTTGTCTAACAGTGGGTGTCTCCACAATAAGCAACACCAACTCCTGCAACAGCCTCCTGTAATCAACAGTACTTGTTTCAAAGAAGTTTATGTGGACTTCTCCCCGCTTGCCCCAACCATTTTTTTTTTATTTGAGACAGAGTCTCACCGTGTTGCCAGGCTGGAGTGCAGTGGCGCAATCTACGCTCACCGCAACCTCCGCCTCCTGGGTTCAGGCGATTCTCCTGCCTCAGCCACCAGAGTAGCTGGGATTACAGACATGTGCCACCACACCCAGCTAATTTTTGTATTTTTAGTAGAGACGAAGTTTCACCATGTTTGCCAGGATGGTCTCGATCCACCCACCTCAGCCTCCCAAAATGCTGGGATTGCAGGCGTGAGCCATCCTGCTCGTCCCCTCCAACCCCTTTGAATGTGCCTGTGCCTATCGTACACGATAACATTCATATCTCAAATGGCAATTTCTTGCAATTCTTGAATAAACACTACTTTTGGAGCATCAGTCTTTCTGTTGTTTACTTTAGGTTACCAATTTTAACATAATAATTTTGGAGGAACACAAACATTCAGACCATATCAGTCACCTTCCTCTTTTTTGGAATAGAAAAGCTCAAGGCCAGAGAGTTTGTTTTAGTAAAGTTTTGACATACTTGTCTTCAAAGATAAAACATGAAACACTATTCCACAGACACAAATAAAAGTGATTTTGTTCATCTTTCACTGTGGGGTATTTTAACCACAGAGATTCTAATTTTTTGGTCTTGGATGGGTCCTGGGAGTCAGTGTTTTTTTTTGTTTTAAGTTCCCTAAATACCTAGAAAACTAGGGTGTTTCTCAGACCAAAGCCATGCATCTGAATCACTGAGGACAACGCCTCTGAAACTTTAATAGGCATACGGATCACCAAGAAATCTTGTTAAAATGCAAATTCTGATTCAGTGGGTTTGTGGTGGAGCCCAGGATTCTGCATTTCGTCATTTCTTTCTTTTTTTTTTTTTTTTTTTTTTTGAGACGGAGTTTTGCCCTTGTTACCCAGGCTGGAGTGCAATGGCATGATCTCGGCTCACCGCAACCTCCGCCTCCTGGGTTCAGGCAATTCTCCTGCCTCAGCCTCCTGAGTAGCTGGGATTACAGACACGCGCCACCATGCCCAGCTAATTTTTTGTATTTTTTAGTAGAGAGGGGGTTTCCCCATGTTGACCAGGATGGTCTCGATCTCTTGACCTCGTGATCCACCCACCTCGGCCTCCCAAAGTGCTGGGATTACAGGCTTGAGCCACCGCGCCCGGCCCATTTCTTTTTTTTTAAATTACTTTTTTTTTTTTTAGAGACAAGGTCTGGCTCTGTAGACCAGGCAAGGTGCAGTGGCACCATCAGAGGTCACTGCAACCTTGAACTCCTGGACTCAGGACATCGTCCCAGGCTGGAATACAATGGTGAGATCTCAGCTCAGCCCAACCTCTGCCTCCTGGGTTCTAGCAATTCTCCTACCTCAACCTCCCAAGTAGCTGGAATCACAGGAATGTGCCACTACGCCTGGCTAATTTTGTATCTTTTTTTTTTTTTTTTTTTTAAGTAGATATAAGGTTTCAGCATGTTGGTCAGGCTGGTCTTGAACTCCTGATGTCAGGTGATTCACCCACTTGGCAACTCAAAGTGTTGGAATTACAAGCCTAAGCCACCGCACTGGGCCAGGATTCTGCATTTCTAATGAGCTGCCAGGTGTTACCAATGCTGCTGGTTCATGGACTACACTCTAAGTAGTAAGGCTCTAGGTTATTAAAGAAAATACAGATTCCTAGGTCCCACCTATCAGAGATTCTGATTCGCTTAGTATTTCTTGTGAGACCCAAAGTCTGCAGTTTAACCATCTCTCTAAGGTGTTTCTGAGGCCCAGCTGGACTGGGAAATTACTATAATAAATGACATCAAATTAAAACCTGGGAACTAATCCTGGTTCTGTCATTAACTCCTTAAGGAGATTCCCTCCCCAACGGAGAGCTCTTTATCAATAAAAAATTGGAGAAGTTAATCTCTTAGGCCCTTCTATTTTTTTTTTTTTTTTTTTTTTTGAGAAGGAGTTTCGCTCTTGTTACCCAGGCTGGAGTGCAATGGCGCGATCTCGGCTCACCGCAACCTCCGCCTCCTGGGTTCAGGCAATTCTCCTGCCTCAGCCTCCTGAGGAGCTGGGATTACAGGCACGTGCCACCATGCCCAGCTAATTTTTTGTATTTTTAGTAGAGACGGGGTTTCACCATGTTGACCAGGTTGGTCTCAATCTCTCGACCTTGTGATCCACCCGCCTCGGCCTCCCAAAGTGCTGGGATTACAGGCTTGAGCCACCGCGCCCGGCCTAGGCCCTTCTAGATCTCGCGTTTGAGAACTGCCCACCTCCCCATTCCCACCGGGTATCCCCAACCCAGAACAGGTCATGGCCAATGGCTGTCGGAGTAGTAGAACTACAATCCCCATAATGCCACGCGCCTCTCCTCTCACGTGAGGTCGTGCAGGAGGGTTGATAATGGAGGTGTTCTCCACAATCCTTTGCGGTAGTTCAAGATGGCGGCGCCCAATGGCACGGTGAGCGATTCGGAAAGCAGTAGTAGCAGTAGCGATGCGGAGGAGCTGGCGCGGTGCCGCGAGGCAGCAATGCCGGCCTGGGGCTTGGAGCAACGGCCGCACGGGGCAGTGAAGCCAAGAGCCGGTAGGGAACTATGGTTGGGGAGACTGGCTGAAGGGCGTGAGATCTTCCCCTGGCGCCTGAGAGGATGGATGGTGAGGAGGGAGTCACTGCAACTCGACTTCCTTCCCTGAGAGAGCTCCAGGGACTGGGTGTAGTGCAGATTGAAAGCATGGGCAGGTGCAGTAGGGAGGGTGTTTCATTATCCCAGTCAGGGATACTGAGGTACCTAAATGTCTTGACTCTGCTTCTCTGAGTCTCTCCTCTGCCGCACACTGGGAAGGCCGCCATTTCTTTGAGCTGACTCTAACAGCCCCCTCCCGGTATTCTCGAAGCCAGCCTTTCCCCACCTCCAGCACATTCTCCCACCCTTGAGGTTGCTAACGAGCAGTGTCCAACACATCACTCTGACCGCAACTCCCTAGTGTCCTGGCAATAAATACAGAACCCCTCAACATCAAGGGACCTAATCATGGATAGAATCCAGCGGGCTCTTGAATTTGGAATGAAAAAATGTTACAGTAAGTTCTGGCTTATTGCTTGCGTGATGGAAAAAGACGCTACCGTTACTTTATCCCAACAGAAGTCACAGATTTTCATATCTCATTACACTCTTTGCAAATAAAGATATCAATATATCCTTTGATCGATAATAAGATATTGGGAAAAAGTCATTCACACTCATCGTGGTGGCGCACGCCTGTAATCCGAGCTACCCAGGAGGCTGAGGCAGGAGAATTGCTTGAACTCGGAGGCGGAGGTTGCAGTGAGCTGAGATTGTGTCACTGCACTCCAGCCTGAGTGATAGAGTAAGACTCCATCTCAAAAAATAAAAAAAGCAAAAGCAAAAACAAGAAGCCGGACACAGTGGTTCACACCTGTAATCTCAGCATTTTGAAGGCCAAGGCAAAAGGATCACTTGAGCCCAGGAGTTCAAGACCAGCCTGGGCAACAGGATGAAACCCCATCTCTACAAAAAAAAAAAAAAAAAAAAAAAGAAAAGAAAAAAAATACAGCTACTTGGGAGGCTGAGATGGGAGGATCACATGGGCAGGGAGAGGTCAAGGTTGCAATAAGCTGTGATAGTGCCACTGCACTTCAGCCTGGGTGACAGACTGAGGCCCAGTCTTGAAAAAAAAAAAAAAAAAAGAGCAAGAGTTAGGCAGGAGGAGGAAAGTAGTCCATGTGGAGAGACCAACTACAGATTTGCCACCATGTTTTGGGCCTTTGAGATGTGCCAAGCATCATAGTGCATCATCTCCGTTACTTCTCAACCTTACAGGGTGGGTACTGCCACTATGCGCACTGCACAGATGAGGAAGTTTAGGTACAGTGAGATGTGAGTACCTTGCTTAAGATCCCACTGCTAATGAGTGAGATGGAAAGGCAGATCTGTATATAGAACTTGTAGAGAAAACTGCGGTTATGGTACTAGCAGGTGGGAGGGCAGACTATAGTTGAGAGCCTACCACAGGAAGTGCAGTGTGGCAGGAGGGAAGGAAGGGAGAGGAGGGCAGTGACTGGATCACCAAAAGGCTTGTAAATCCTTTCAAACAAACGCAGCAGTGCTTAACATTGCTTTGTACCATGTCCTTCTATAACAGCCTGGTGAAGCCTGCTTTTCTTCTCAGAGTAATGTTGTAAATGCATGAAATGCAACATATAAGATTACAAAGAAAACCGATGATACTGAAATTTAATTATGGTAGTCAACAACCAAACTTGTGATGTATGTGCTTCTTTGTTAATACATTATACCAGATCTACAGATGGGTCTAAAAATTAGTGTGGCACATTTTAAATCAGGGATGAGTGTAAATGACTCTCTCCCAATGGCTGATTTTTGTATTTTTAGTAGAGATGGGGTTTCACCATGTTGGCCAAGCTGGTCTCAAACTCCTGACCTCGTGACCTGCCCACCCCGACCTCCCAAAGTGCTGGGATTACAGGCATGAGCCACCACACCCGGCCTTCTTTTTCATTTTTTAATATGGCTAAGACACCACCCACCTCTTAGGAGAGCTTTCTCCATCTTTCAAGTCTGGGTTACCTGCCTTCTTGCCATCATCATACTTTGTGTGATTCCCTTCATCCATAGTGCTTTTCTTCCTTCCTACAGTTGCCTCTTGCATCTTTTTTTTCTTTCACCCCTGCATCCCCAGCACATTAAGTCAGTCCTGGCTTACACTTGCCCCACAAAGATTTATTGAGTGAGAGGTTCCATGATGTGAGCTTCATGAAGGCTGGACTCTCACCTATCCCTTTACCACAGTGTCTTCAGGACTCAGGAAAATGATTATTGCATGAATGAACTTGCACAAAACACACCTCTAATGAGTGAAGGGGCTGGGATTCCGGCAGCTTCCACTTGCAGTGTTAGGTTGACTTGATATGAAGTGCTGGTCTTGGACAAATAACATAACTTCAGTAGCTACAATTTTCTTATCTGTAAAACACCCAATTCCTAGAGTTGTTTTGAGTCTCAAATACGAACAAACTTTGACTGACGAATGAAAAGATATTTACATGAGAAGTGGTATCCAAGGTATCAGCTTTACAGCTCATTGTTTTTGTGACATCATAAAATCTCCTGCTGATCAAAGTAGATGAAGCTGCTGATAAGAGGTGCTGTTATTTATTGAGCACCTACTGTGTGCTGGGCAAGATGCTAGACATTTGGAGTACCTTTTTTTTTTTTTTTTTTTGAGATGGAGTCTTGCTCCGTTGCTCAGGCTGGAGTGCAGTGGCGCAATCTCAGCTCACTGCAGCCTCCGCTTCCTGGGTTCAAGCAATTCTCTTATCTCAGCCTCCATAGTAATTGGGATTACAGGTGCCTGCCACCACACCCAGCTGATTTTTGTATTTTTAGTAGAGACGGGATTTCACCATGTTGGCCAGGCTGGTCTTGAACTCCTGACCTCAGGTGATCTGCCCGTCTCGGCCTCCCACAGTGCTGAGACTATAGGCATGAGCCACCATGCCCAGCCTGGAGTACATTCTTCTTCCAATAATAATAATAATAATAGTAATATCATTAGAGTGCTTCTAATAATAGCCACCAGGAGTTGAGAACTTACTTTTTGTCCCCTGTTCTAATCACTTTTTATTTGTTGTCTGTTTTCATCTTCCCAGCAATACCACAAAGGGTGTCTTAGCCCCATTTTACAGAAAACTGATGCTCGTAATGGTGAAATAACTTGGCCAAGGTTGTCCAGTTTGTAAAGGGCAGAAGCAGGTGTAAATCCAGGCCTGCCTGACTCCAAGTCCATGCTCTTCATTGCTGCTGTGCCTCTCTGCCATGGACAAGTGTCTGTTGTGGTCAAAACTCCCACCGTGGCTGGGCGCGGTGGCTCAAGCCTGTAATCCCAGCACTTTGGGAGGCCGAGGCAGGTGGATCACGAGGTCAAGAGATCGAGACCATCCTGGTCTACATGGTGAAACCCCGTCTCTACTAAAAATACAAAAATTAGCTGGGCTTGGTGGCGCGTGCCTGTAATCCCAGCTACTCAGGAGGCTGAGGCAGGAGAATTGCCTGAACCCGGGAGGCGGAGGTTGCGGTGAGCCGAGATCGTGCCATTGCACTCCAGCCTGGGTAACAAGAGTGAAACTCCTTCTCAAAAAAAAAAAAAAAAAAAAAAAAAAAAAAAAACCTCCCACCCTTTGGTCCATGACTATGTGGAAATATAGCTCACTATTTTATTTATGTAATCTCTAGATACAGCTCTTAAATCCAGTGATGCTGGTCACTCTAATCACTTTAATTTTATAGTAGCATATTACTTTGATTCATTTTTCTGACAATTAGTTCAAACCAAGATACCATGGCAGGATCTGGGGATACAAAGATAAAATGAGGCAGACTGGGCCGGGCGTGGTGGCTCACACCTGTAATCCTAGCACTTTGGGAGGCTGAGGCGGGTGGATCACAAGGTTAGGAGTTCGGGACCAGCCTGGCCAACATGGTGAAACCCTGTCTCTACTAAAAATACAAAAATTAGCTGGGCATGGTTGCAGGCGCCTGTAATCCCAGCTACTCGGGAGACTGAAGCAGAATGGCTTGAACCCAGGAGGTGGAGGTTGCAGTGAGCCAAGACCATGCCATTGCACTCCAGCCGGGGTGACAGAGGAAGACTCCGTCTCAAAAAAAAGAAGAGGCAGACCATGTATTCAAGCAGCTTACAGATCCAGGAAGGAGATGGGCGTGGAAACAAAATCTCCACGACACTAACTCATAAGGCTGGTTGTCGTATTCCTATTTTATAGATGAGAAAACCAAGGCTCAGGGAGATAAAGTGAGGCTTGCCCGGCATCACACAGCTTGGTGGCAGAGCCAGGATTCAGCTGAACTGTCTTCCTCTGTAATACCATTTCTGTTCCATGACAGTACCTCACCCTCACCGCACTGTAGTCTTGCTGGAAGAGATGCTCTTCTTGTGATTATGTGCTGAAGACGACTAGGTCCTTAAAGACTGTCCTTTGGGCCCCCACAGTACCCGCCTCCAGGAGCATGTTCTGCATTCTGTGTTGTGCTCTGGAGGACACCGACCTAGATCACAAGGTACCAGGACACAGATGCAGTGCCTGTGGGTGATGACATACACACAGCCGGCCCCCATGGAGCTGTTTCACACCACGGCCCTCCACTGGGCCCGGAGCTACCAAGTGTCCACTTTGTTCAGCTGGCCCCTTAAATACACAAGCACGTTTTGTCTCGTTAGTTAAGTCAGAGACCTCAGAGCTAACTGTCACTCATCTCTCACACCCTGAGGTCAGTTCATCAGTGACTCCTATTGACTCCATCTCTCTGGAGTCCACACTTCTCACCAGCTCAATTATTGCAGTAGTCTCCATGTTCCTGCCTTTACCCCAACAGTCTCGTGCCTCACAGCAGCCAAAGATGTGTTGTGAAAACCCAGGTCAGTTAAGTCCTTCCTCTGCGCAGTTTCAGAGTTCTTCCTCCTCAAAGGCCAGGCCCTCCCACTGGCCCACGTCAGGGCCCTTCGTGATCTGGCCCCTGTGAGTTCTCCATCTCTGCCACTCCCGGTTTGCTGGCTGGGCCCTGGTCACACTGACCTCCTCACTGTTCGAAACACACAGGGCAGGCTCTGGTGTTGGGGCCTTTGCAGATGCTCTTCCCTTCTGTCTGGAAGGCTGTGTCCCACATGTCTACTTGGTTCACTCCGCTCCTCTCTCAAATCTCTATTCAAATGTTACCTCATCAATGAAGCCCTTTCTACCCACCTTTATTTAAGTCCCCAGCCCAGCGCTCCCCACCTCTCTCCCCTACTTTGTTTCTGGTTTTGTTTTTTTTTTCTGTTCACTTACCATTATCCAACTTTACATTTTGTTTATGTACGTGTGTTTGTCATCTCTCTCCACCGACCAGAACGTAAGCTCCGTGCAGACAGTGACATTCAAGTAAGTTGCTCAGCAGTTACACCTGGCTAATACAAGGTGTTCAGTGTTTGGTTTGAGTGAATGACTGAAAGCCCAGGCATCCTCAGTGTTTTGGTTTGAAAAATGTGATCTACGAAAGAGCCATCTTCTCTCTCTTCCACGGCACTTAGCACACAGCCAGGCAGGCACTAAACTGTGCAGTCCTGTTACACTTAACTGGACTGTTGAGCACCGCATGGTGGTTAAGAGGAGGCTCAGGAGCCAGGTGGCCTGGGTCCTCAGCCCAACTCTATCACTTAGTAGGTATTTGACTCTGGCCAACTTATTTTACATCTCTGATGTTTCTTCTGCAAAACAGGATAATGGTAACCCCTCCAATCGGGTTGTTGGAAAGATTCACTGAGTTATATGTGCTATATATATTTTAAGTTATATACATAACTCATTAGTTAAATCAGAAACCTCAGAGCTAACTTTCACTTCTCTCTCACACCCTGAGGTGTATATATAACTATTTTAAGTTATATAACTAAGTTATATATATGTAACTATATAAAATATACTTATATAAAGTTATAGGTAGGCCGGGCATGGTGGCTCAAGCCTGTAATGCCAGCACTTTGGGAGGCCGAGGCAGGTGGATCACGCGGTCAAGAGATCGAGACCATCCTGGTCAACATGGTGAAACCCCGTCTCTACTAAAAATACAAAAAATTAGCTGGGCATGGTGGCGCATGCCTGTAATCCCAGCTACTCAGGAGGCTGAGGCAGGAGAATTGCCTGAACCCAGGAGGCGGAGGTTGCGGTGAGCCGAGATCACGCCATTGCACTCCAGCCTGAGTAACAAAGGGTGAAACTCCATCTCAAAAAAAACCAAAAAAGTTACAGGTATATAACTATCTTAAGTAGGTTATATATAAACTATATGAAATATATAAATTATAGGTATATAACTATTTTAAGTTATATGTAAATATATATATGAGTGATATATATTTTCAGCTGCTGAAAATTGTGCCTGATACACGTTTGTACTTGTCATTGTTTCCTCTGTAAATTTCCTCTATAAATGCAGAGTTAGGCCTTAAACCCATGTGCATATATATTTTAAGTTATATAACTAAGTTATATATAACTATATAAAATACAGTTATATAAATAGTTACGTATATAACTTATATACGTAACTATTTTAAGTTATCGGTATATAACTATTTTAAGTTATATATAAATACAAATGAGTGATACATGTATGTAGCCATATGAGTGATACATATTTTCAGCTGCTGAACATAGTGCCTGGCACACGTTTGTACTTACTGTCATTGTCACCTCTATAAATGTCCCAATTTCCGTTTTTCCACAGGTGCAACAAATAACCAGTCGTCACCCTCCCAGCCGAGCCTCAGGTACTGTGCACTTTGGGTTCAGGCTTCACTTATTCATTCAGCAAATACTGATCCCCTGCATGTGCCAGATGCCAGGCTAGACCCGTGGCATATCCAGGTGAACAAGACACACATGGTCCCCCATGGGGACAGCTTCTGAGCGGGCAGGAAGTGAGGTCTCTTTGTGTGTGTCGTAGGCCTAAGGTGGATGAGCACGAACAAGACGGCAACGAGCTTCAGACCACCCCCGAATTCCGAGCCCACGTAGCCAAGAAGCTGGGAGCCCTGCTGGACAGGTAAGCGCGGGTGGAGTTCTTCCTCTCTTGCCGTTGTTAATACGAACAGCAATGGCTCACACTGGCTGGGAGCTCACGGTGTCCAGGCAGGCGCTTGGCATCTGTCACCTCACTGCATTCATAAAACACATGATCATGTGGGTCCTGTTGTTACCTTTATTCTCCAGGTGAGGAAACAGCAAGGAGACACGTTTGCTCGAAGTCATCATCGTCATAGCTACCATTTACTGAGCAACCGTTTGCAGCCAGGCTCTGTGCTAAGCGCTTGATGTCCAGTTTCTCATTTAATCCTTGTGATGCCCCTCAGAGGTAGAGACTGTTACCATTCCCACTGTACAGATGGGTAACTGAGGCTCGAAGACGCAAAGTCATCTGCCCAAGAGACACCGCTACTCAATGACAAAGCCAGAACTCAAAACCCAGGAGGGAGCAGAGTTGGGCCTCAAACCCAAGTGCATCTGACTCCAAGCCCATGTTTTTTTTGTTTTGTTTTGTTCTTTGAGACGGAGTCTCACACTGTCGTCCATGCTGGAGTGTAGTGGCACAATCTTGGTTCACTGCAGCCTCCACCTCCCAGGTTCAAGCGATTCTCATGCCTCGGCCTCCCAAGTAGCTGGGATTACAGGTTACCCGCCACCACGCCAGGCTATTTTTTGTATTTTTCTTAGAGACAGGGTTTTACCATGTTAGCCAGGCTGGCCTCAAACTCCTGACCTCAAGTGATCTGCCTGCCTTAGCCTCCCAGAGTGCTGGGATTACAGGTGTGAGCCACCATGCCCAGCCAAGCCCATATTCTTAACCCCTGCAACCATGAGAATAAGAGGAACCTCAGGAAGCTCATTCCCACCACAAGAGGGCAAGGAAGGGCCATGTGCAAGGAAGGGCCATGTTCCTATTTCTTGGGTGCCTTTTGTGTGCCAGGCTCTGTGCCAGGTCTCTGTCTTACATTCTCAGCACAGGTTGACCACACAGTTGGTAAGGACTCAGGTTGGCATTCCTAAAGTAGGTGCCAAGGAATACCACTTGTTTGAGTCCATATGGGCTGCTATAACAAAATACCACAAACTGGGTAGCTGATAAACAGAAGAAATGGATTTCTCACATTTTGGAGGCAGAGAATTCCAAGATCAAGGCACCAGCAGATTCCATGTTGTCTGGGGAGAGCCCTCTTCCCAGCACAGATGGCGCCTTCTCACTGTGTCCTCACATAGCGGAATGGGTGAGGGGTCTCCCTCAGGCCTTTTTTATAGGAGCACCAATGTCCTTCATGAAGGCTCCACCCTCACGATCTAATCACCTCTCAAAGGCCCCGGTCTCCTAACCCTAATACCTTGGGTTGAGGATTTCTTCTTCCTTTTTCTTTTTTTTTTTTTTTTTTTTGAGACGGAGTTTCGCTCTTGTTACCCAGGCTGGAGTGCAATGGCGCGATCTCGGCTCACCGCAACCTCCGCCTCCCGGGTTCAGGCAATTCTCCTGCCTCAGCCTCCTGAGTAGCTGGGATTACAGGCACGCGCCACCATGCCCAGCTCATTTTTTTTGTATTTTTAGTAGAGACGGGGTTTCACCATGTTGACCAGGATGGTCTCGATCTCTCGACCTCGTGATCCACCCGCCTCGGCCTCCCAAAGTGCTGGGATTACAGGCTTGAGCCACCGCGCCCGGCCTTCCTTTTTTTTTTTTTTTGGAGATAGAGTCTCACTCTGGAGCACAATGGAGCGATCTCGGCTCACTGCAAACTCCTGGGTTCAAGCGATTTTCATGCCTCAGCCCCCTGAGTACCTGGGATTACAGGCGTGTGCCACCACACCAGTTTTTTGTATTTTCAGTAAATACGGGTTTTCACCGTGTTGGCCAGGCTGGTCTCAAACTCCTGACTTCAAGTGGTCCACCCACCTTGGCCTCCCAAAATGCTGGGATTACAGGTGTGAGCCGCCGTGCCCGGCTGGGGTGAGGATTTCCCCGTGAGAGTTTGTGGAGGACGCAAACATCTGTACTCTAGCACTAGCCCAGAGCGTGGCTCTGGAGAAAAGGAAGTTCTTTTTTCTGGAAGAGGCTCTCCCCAGACACGGAGGTCCACAGAAGTGTGAGAAACGCTGCAATCCACATACCTCCACGAGTCCTTGCAGACTGCAACTCGTAGTAGTATATTCAAGGCTCTGAGAATTGCCGTGTGAAGAGACCTGTGTAACTGTTTAGCCCAGCATTTTCCAAACTCATGTAGCCACAGGGCCTTTGTTTCACGGAAGACCAGTCAACAAGCTGTGGAACAGGTCGGGGGATACGCTGGTCCACATCCCATCCTCACTGGCAGAGCCCTGGCAGGGTCTTCAAAGGGAGATGAGGCAGGATTTGGGGCCATTGTCATTCCAATTGAGTAGATATCAAAAAGGACCAATGAGCCTTCCCAAAGTGTGAACCAGCTCTTCCCCTGAGACAGAATGGTGGCCAGAGCTCCGCGGCCTGAACCCGCACACGGTTAGGGCCAGTCCCCTCAATTCAGGAATGCAGGGGGGGTGTTCGGGAAGGCAGCTGCGTTTTGGCCTGTGGGAGCACCGCTTTTCTTCGTGACTCGGGCTTCAGGCTGAACAGGGCCTGCCTGGCATCGCACCGAGCCACCGTGGATGTTTCTCCAGTAGAAATGCCATCAGCCGTGGTTAGAATATTCCCTGCAGCATTTCCACGTTTCTCCAGAGAAATTTAAATGATACCTTAGGCCAGTATGGTGGGTCACGCGTGCAATCCCAGCACTTGCGGAGGCCAAGGCGGGTGGATCATTCCAGGTAAGGAGTTTGAGACCAGCCTAGCCAAGATGGTGAGACCCCATCTCTACTAAAAGTGCAAAAATTAGCAGGACATGGTGGCGCACACCTGTAAGCCCAGCATACTCTGGAGGCTGAGGTAGGAGAATCACTTGAACCCAGGATGCAGAGGTTGTAGTGAGCTGAGATCGTGCTACTGCACTCTAGCCTGGGTGACAGAGCAAGACTCCATCTCAAAAAAATAAAAGAAATGTAAATGATACCACAGTTGGCCCCTGTGTTCGGTCAGCGGCTCTCAGCCTTGGCGCTGCTGACATCTTTGACTAGCATTTGTCATAGCGGTCTGTCGTTCTTCCCTTTATAGGATGTTTACCAGCATCCCTGGCCTCTACCTACTAGAAGATAGTAGCACTCACCCCACCAGTTGGGACAAGCAAAACTGTCTCCAGACGTTGCCAGCTGCCCCTGGCGGCCACCATTAAGCCACTGTGTGGGTCAGGAATAGGTGCGTGGGTGGCAGCGTCTCTGCTCCCTCTCCCCAGGTTGCTCTCCCTGAACAAGGCCTGGGGGCGCCTTTGGCATACAGGAAGGGCTGTTAGGGAAGGCACCCAGGGCATTGCTGTGTCTGCTTTGAGGGCGTTGCCGAGAGCCTTGTTCTCTGCCGTGCACAGTGACTGCTCCATCCGTGTTCACCGGAGACATGCTTCCTGGTCTCGTGCCTCTAGAGAAATGCAGTTTGTTTTTAAGTTAGAGATCCTGTGAAGGCCAAAGCTTTCCTTGGTGGCAGTCATCATCCTCAGCGTCATCATCACTACCATTTACTGAGCGACTACTTGTGGCCAGACTGTGTGCCACAAGTGCTTGATAGCCACTTTCTCCTTCAATCCTTGTGATGACCTTAAGAGGTGGGGACTGTCATTATTCCCACTGCACAGTTGGCTAACAGAGGCTCAGAGAGGTAAAGTCATTTGCTTAAGGGACACCGCTAATACGTGACAAAACCGGGATTCAAAACCCAGGTCTCTGAAGTCTGGATAAGGTCCGGGAATTGAGTCCATTTCCATTGCCTGGTTATGATCTCGTACTGCAGTGAGGCACAGTGTTACGATTGCGAGAAGATGGGTGGACGGTCTGTGGAACCTCTGTATTATTTGTTGCTACTGCATGTCTACAATGACCTCCAATTTTTTTAATTAAAAAAAAAAATTAAAAGCCGGGTGCTGTGGCTCGCGCCTGTAATCCCAGCACTTTGGGAGGCCGAGGCGGGTGGATCACGAGGTCAAGAGATCGAGACCATCCTGGTCAACATGGTGAAACCCCGTCTCTACTAAAAAAATACAAAAGATTAGCTGGGCGTGGTGGCGCGTGCCTGTAATCCCAGTTACTCAGGAGGCTGAGGCAGGAGAATTGCCTGAACCCAGGAGGTGGAGGTTGCGGTGAGCCGAGATCGCGCCATTGCACTCGAGCCTGGGTAACAAGAGCGAAACTCCGTCTCAAAAAAAAAAAAAATTAAAACAAGTCTGCTTTGTTCAAGAAGCTGTCCTCTGAATTAGTTTTCTGAATTGGTCATATTTCCCTTTTCATGCTTGCTGCTAGGAAGCTCAAAGCAAAATGTATGCCCTCTCTCTCTAATGAGTATATAGGACTTCCTGACCACACTTCTAGGTCTTTCCATTCCTCTTGCCATTATATCTCTATGCCCTATTTGAAATTGCATTCATTTTGTTGCACTGTGTCTTTAAGACTTCTTCAACACTGTCGGCTTTAAACAAATGAGGCAGTACAGTTTGCGTGGCAGAGGCTGGTCAGCATGTTACAGCTGTACCGTCAGCCCTCCTAGTAGGCCAGCGTGCTTTCTGCTCTTGCATTTAAGATCACATGCCCCATCCCCTCCACTTGAAAAAATATATAATTGTTTTTGTTGTTATCCAAAAATACCGTCTTAAATGAACCATTTCGTCTCCCCTTAGCTTCATTACCATCTCAGAAGTAGCAAAGGAGCCAGCAAAAGCTCAGGTACAGAAAGTCGCTTCAGAGGATGATGGTGAGTGGTCATACTTCCTAGACGCTTTCATTTATTGAGCACCTAATGTGTGTCTGCAGCTGGGTGAAACTTTTTTTTTTTTTTCAAGATAGGGTCTTGCTCTGCCACCTAGCCTGGAGTACAGTGGAGCAATTACAGCTTAATGCAGCCTCAACCTCCCAGACCCAGGCAATTCTCCCACCTCAGCTGCTTGAGTAGCTGGGACCACCGATACACACCAGCACACCTGGCTAATTATTATTATTATTATTTTTTTTTTTTTTTTTTTTGAGACGGAGTTTTGCCCTTGTTACCCAGGCTGGAGTGCAATGGCGCGATCTCGGCTCACCGCAACCTCCGCCTCCCGGGCTCAGGCAATTCTCCTGCCTCAGCCTCCTGAGTAGCTGGGATTACAGGCACGTGCCACCATGTCCAGCTAATTTTTTGCACTTTTAGTAGAGACGGGGTTTCACCATGTTGACCAGGATGGTCTCGATCTCTCGACCTCGTGATCCACCCGCCTCGGCCTCCCAAAGTGCTGGGATTACAGGCTTGAGCCACCGCGCCCGGCTTTTTTTTTTTTTTTTTTTTTTTTTAGAGACAGGGTCTCAATTTGTTGCCCAGGCTGGTCTTGAACTCCTGGCCTCAAGTGATCGCCCCACCTTGGCCTCCCAAAGTGCTGGGACTATAGGCATGCGCCACCACACCTGGCTAATGTAGAGACAGGGTTCCACCGTGTTGTGTAGGCTGATCTTGAACTCCTGGTCTCAAGCAGTCCTCTTGCCTCAGTCTCCCAAAGTGCTGGGATTAGAGGCGTGAGCCACTGCGCCATTCTTTTTATCTGCTCAGCCCCTGCGGTGAGGCAAGTATTTATGATAAGTCCCCATTTTACAGGCAAGGCAACTGAGGCCCTGAGAAACGAACTCGTTTGCCCGAGGTGACCTCATGTGTGTCGCCCTGAGCAGGAGCACTTTACCCCTGCCCTCCACAGCCTCACCCCTCCGCGTCTGTCCGGTACCAGTGCAGTTCCTACTTTGATGGCTGCCTTAGGTCCGGAGCTCAAGTGCTGGCTTCCAGAAGCCTCTGAGGGCTTGCTGAGCGGATGTGGCTGCCGGCGTCCCCTCCAGCGCGCGCTCTACTGGCTCCATCAGGCATCAGCATGACTCTCGGCAGACACAGCATCACTTTGTAGACAAACGACCGATTCCGGGTCTTTGGCTGGGGACCAGGAGCTCCTGGAGGGCAGAGGCGGGGCAGCCTCAGCACCTGGCACCGGGGAGGAGGGGTTGGCATCTGGCAGTGCTGACTGCCCCTTTGGTTTGTTTGTTTGTTTGGGTTTTTTGGTTGTTATTGTTTCTTTTTTTAAGTTTTTTTCTGTTTGTTTGTTTGTTTCTTTTTTGTTTGATTCGTTTTTGTTTGACTCTGCCCCTTGGAATCTTAGGTTTCCGCCTTTTCTTCACGTCTGTCCCTGGAGGCCGAGAGAAGGAAGAGTCGCCCCAACCCCGCCGAAAGCGCCCGCCCTCCAGCTCCAGGTGAGAAGTCCCCCCTTCCTCACGTCCCCCCCTTTCTCCTCCTCTCCTGTCTTGGCGGGTTCCCCGGAATAGCCGAGCAGACGCCGGTCAGGACCAGGCCGAGGCAGGGCCGAGTGGGAGGGCAAAGCTCTCTTGGCGGCAGCTTCGGATGGTTGCTGCTTTTGAGCACCTATCTTGGGCCAGACACCTCACTTGATCATAGCTGCCTCCTGGGACACCCCTGGGAGGCCTGGACTCTGTTAAGATCCCCTTTTGTAGATGGTACTGAGAGTCAGAGAGGTTAAATCACTCAGGAGGTCACAGGGCTGCTCGGCCCGGAAGCCGGTCTTGGAAGCCCGAACCCGCTACCTGCCTGCCTGTGTGGCCGCTTTCCAGTGACCTGGACCGAGGGAGGCCAGTGAGGCAGCCCTGGGCTGTGTCCTGCCTGCAGCTAACCCAGGGCGCCCCCTCCTTGCAGCAGTGAGGACAGCGACGAGGAGCGGCGGCGGTGCCAGGAGGCAGCTGTGTCGGCGTGGGACGTCCTGCAGGAGTCAGCCATCCACGGCGCTGGCACGGTGGAGAAGGAGGCAAAGAAGAAAAGGAAGTCGAAAAAGAAAGCCAAGGAGGTGGCGGTAGTCGCCACCACCGCCCCCAGCGCGGCCACGGTCCAGAAGCAGAAGTCAGGTGAACTCACCAGGGACCAGGTGTCGCCCGGAACCAAAAAGAAGAAAAAGAAGAAAAAGGCAAAGAAGGCCAGTGAGACCTCTCCATTCCCACCAGCGAAGAGGGCCACAGTGGTGCCTGCAAACTGAACCAGCTGTGGGCACAGCGGTGCCTGCAAACTGAATCCAGCTGCGGGCACAGGGCTCGGCTCCAACGACCGGGTGCCCCGGGGACAAGGCATTTCCAGGCCCCACCTCCCTCTCCAAGTTCAAGGACTGGGCTGGCGAGTCTAGACTGCCCATAAGACCCTGATGGTGATGAGGGCTTGCCCAAGAGTCGGGCCAAAAAAGTGGCTGTGGGTGAGAAGCCCAAGCATGGCCGGCCCGTCTGTGTGCCCATGGGGGGCTGGGGGCCGGCGGTTCCAGAACATTGCATGGCCTCAGGAAAAGGAGCCTTCCAGTTATTTGAGACCTGTGGCCAAGTGGTGAAACCTCCATCTCCCTAGAACTGTCCGAGGTGGGCAGGGGAAGGGAGACCTCCTCCCCCACCACCTCCTTAGCCTGGCGGGAGAAACCATTTTTAGAAAATGAGAGAAGTGATCCCAAGATGCCCAGGCCCAGAGAAACCTGTTCTCCCTTAGCCCACACAGACTTCACAGAAGCGTCTGAGAAAGGAAAGATTTTTTTCACCCCTGGCTTTCTAGAATTTCCTTTGTCTGCATTTGTGAATATACCACACATGATGGTGTCTCTGAGCCAACCAGATTATGGAAGCTCAATTGTCAGGGGACCCAAACAAAACTGAGAGTGAGCTGGGTATTGCCTCTGTCAGTGCTGAACCTTAAGATGCTTTGAATAGCCGGGCGCGGTGGCTCACACCTGTAATCCCAGCACTTTGGGAGGCCGAGGCGGGCGGATCACGAGGTCAAGAGATCGAGACCACCTTGGTCAACATGGTGAAACCCTGTCTCTACTAAAAATACAAAAAATAAGCTGGGCATGGTGGCACGTGCCTGTAATCCCAGCTACTCGGGAGGCTGAGGCAGGAGAATTGCCTGAACCCAGGAGGCGGAGGTTGCAGTGAGCCGAGATCGCACCATTGCACTCCAGCCTGGGTAACAAGAGCGAAAACTCCATCTCAAAAAAAAAAAAAAAAAAAAGATGCTTTGAATAAACACCCTCCTCCTCTCTCCACCCCACACAAGACTTCAGGAAGTGTCACAATGCTCGTGGACTAGGTTTCCTGTGACAGAGGCATTCTGCAAGGGTAAAGCTCGCTGCCAGGCGCAGTGGCTCCCGCCTGAATGCCCAGCACTTTGGGAGGCCAAGGAGGGTGGATCATTTGAGGCTAGGCGTTTGAGACCAGTCTGGCCAACATGGTGAGACCCCCGTCTCTACTAAAAGTACAAAAATTAGCTGGGTGTGGTGGCACACGGCCTGTAATCCCAGCTACTCAGTAGGCTGAGGCAGGAGAATCATTTGAACCCAGGAGGTGGAGGTTGCAGTGAGCTGAGATTGCACCACTGCACTCCAGCCTGGGCAACAAAGTGAGACGAGACCCTGTCTTTAAAAAAAAAAAAAAAAAAAAAACAAGAACAAGAAGTAGCAGCTCGCAGCCAGATACTGTGGCTCACACCTGTAATCCCAGCACTTTGGGGGGCGGAAGCAGGGGGATCACTTGAGGCCAGGAGTTCCAGACCAGCCTGGATAACATGGTGAAACCCTGTCTCTAGTAAAAAAATACAAAAATCAGTCAGGCATGGTGATGTGCGCCTGCGGTCCCGGCTGCTTGTGAGGCGAGGTGGGAGGATCATTGAGGCCAGGCGGTCAAGGCTTTGGTGAGCCTGCAATGCCTCTGCAGTCCAGCCTGGGTGCCAGTGACACCCTGTCTCCAAAACAAAAATTTTTTTTAAAGTAGAAGCTCAAACTTAGGGTAAAATCTGGCTTCATCATCAGAGGCTCGCCGGAGCCAGAAAAGCAGAGACGGGTGTGAGAGTGGGTGCTGGCGCCCGTCTCTTTTTCATAGGCCCCTGGCCTGCCTCCACCTCCCTCTCCCTGCCCAAACTCCCCCTGAATGATTTGTGGACAAGCAAGACATTTCCACCACATTTCTCCTTGACTTTACTAAAAGTTAAATAAACGTGCCGCTCGCCCCAGCTGGCTACAAGCTGCCGGGGTGCCGGGTCGCCCAGACCTTCTCCTGAATCCCAGGGTGGCGGTGGCACTCCGAGGACCAGGTTCTCAGCAGCAGGTGCAGAGACACGGGGCCATGCTTGCCCGGGCTTCACAGGCTCCCGTGTCCCTCCTGGTGGTGCTCAGGACCTCGGACTCCTCTGGTGGCTGCGAAGTGCCCTCAGCCAGCCAGGGCCCCGGGCTCCTGAGCTTAGTCCTGTCCACACAGGCAGCTCCTCTGCCCTGGGGTCGCCTCTTTCTTCTCTTGGGCACCTCAGCCTGGCCAGCTGCTTGGGCCTTGCCGCCTTCTGAGCTCAGCAGCTTCTCCCCAAACAAGGGCAAGGTCTGCCCCACAGGACCTGGACTTGGCAGGGGTCACGAGGCTCCCACAGGAGTAAGGACGACTTCCCAGCTCTGAAGCGGCCTTCCCCGTAGAGGAAGGAGGCCAGGCTGGCCTCGGGGGTGTGATGCTCTTGGGAACTGATATCCAGGAAAGCTGGAGGTCCTGGGGCCCGGGATAGGGAATCACGGGGGACCAGGGAAGCTGGGAGACCCTGCCTACTTTCCCTGTTAGCTTCAGCCCCTGGGCGTGGGCATTGGAGCCCCAGGCCCTGGCACAGAGTAGCCACCCAGGAAATGCCTATGTGAGTAGATGACGGGGTCAGTACAAAGGGCATGTGCGTCCCTAGCTGGAAGGAGTGGGGGCGGGATGGAGTGGCCCTGTGGGTGCATAGGCCACAGAACAAGGCCACGCTGACCCAGGGCCACTCAGCTCAGCACGTCACAGCTACACAGGCCTGTGTCCTGAGAAGTGTGGCTGCCAGAGTCGTGTAGGGGTCCCAGGGCTCTCCACAGGCCCAGGCTGGGGGTGCCCAGGTCACAGGCTGCCCGCTTCGTATCCCAAGCAGCAGGGACAGTCCTTCCATCTGCCAGGAACAGGCTCTGCTCGCGCTCTCCATGGCCCCCTTGTGTGCAACCCGAGCAGCCCTGTGCAGGTTGGGGCGCCTCAGAGAGCCCTCCCGTTCTGATGCATCACAGCAAAGCGGGGAGCGAGGCGCAGCTTTCCAGGAAGGGCAGCAGGAGCCCGGCAAGCTCAGGTCCTGCAGGCAGGGCTGGCTGCTGCCCCCAGGCAGGCAGTACAGGCTCCAGGGCCCGGGTGCCGTGGTTACTGGGAGGAAGAGGCCATCTGCGTGGAGATGAAGGTCTCGATGACGCTGTGGTTGGACGGGAGCAGGTGGCTGTGGCCGTTGCTGGAGTCTGAGCTCTGGTACAGCACCAGGCTGCTCGAGGACACTGTGGAGGTAAACGAGGCTGCTGGCCGCACACAGGCACCCGGACCCACCCCACCTGCCCCAGGGATACTCGGGCCGGGGAGGCAGGGCCACGCCTGGATCACAGCAGATAACAGGAACCCCAAAGTCAAACCTCTACCCTCAGTTCTTAACAAGGGGAGCCTGCCAGCCAGCCTCAGGGGGCCTCCCTGGGAGTGGCCTCAGTACATCTTAGTGGGAACGCTGGAGAAGTCCCGGTGAGATGCCGGGGCAGGCAGCTGTAAACATGCTGGCTTGCTGAGGCTGAGTCGAACGCTAATCTAAGTGCTGTTGTGAATGCAGGTGCTTTGTAGATGTGGTTAACGCCATGATCAGTTGGCTTTGCGTAAAGGAGTTTACCCTGAAAATATGGGTGGGCCTCCTCCGTCAGTGGAAGGCCAAAAGAGCAAAAACAGGTTTCCAGAGAAGAAAGAATTCTGCCTCAAGGCTGCAGAACTCTCTCTCGAGGGAGTTCCCAGCAACAGATTTCAGGCTAGGCAGTCCCCACAGTCTCGAGCCAAGTCCTTCAAGGCAATCTATTGGTTCTGTGTTTCTGGAGAACCCTGACTGATGGAAATGGTTAAGAGAATGGGCTTTGAGGTTGGACCTGGGTTCGAGTCCTGGCCCTGCTGCCTGGTAGCTGTGGGAGACGAGGCAAGTCCCCCCCTCCTTAAGTGTCTATGTTCTCATCTGTAAAATGGGGGTGATCGTGCACATGCCTCCCGAGGTGAAGCAAGGAGCCAGGACACAGAATGCCTTCAGAGGCTGTCATGACGGCTGCCAGGGCTGGGGCCAGGAACCTTAGAGAAAGGGGCAACGTGCATAAAGGCAGGTGCAGAGCCAGCCACCTGACTCCAAATGCCCACTCCTGACAATGACGTGACCCTCTGCCAGGGGTCACTGGAGCCGATGTGAGTGGATGCAGTGGGGCCTGGTGAGCTGTTACGTGGGAATATGAATTTTTCCAGTTTTCCAAAAGATGCTGGAAATCCGGATTTCTATGAGAAAATTCCTGATTTTGAAACGTTGGCAACACATTTCAAAGAATGTTCAACCCTGAGCCAAGCCAGACCAAACGTGTGAAGGAGTCGCTTCTGGCTCACAGACCTGGTCCTTATCACCCGCCGCTGCCTCTAACAATCACTTCATCTTTTGCCTCCACCTAGTACCTGAGATGTTCCTGTAAGGCGGGCCCATCTTCCTGGGGTCGTCGTGCCTTTTGGGCTTCATGGGAGCACAGGCCGTGTCTGGGAGGGGGGACCCCACCCCACCCCCGTGCCTGCCGGGGCTTACTCACGGCAGCCCTAGGCCTGCTGCATGCACTGCCCCACAGCCACGGGGTTGGGGGGACGGCAACGGGGACTACAACGAAAGGGGCGGGACCAACACGGAAGGGGCGGAGCCAGTAAGGGATGGGGCGGGGCCAGGGCCTCACTCGTGGGGCTGGCGCTGAGCCGGTGGGCGGGCTGCAGGTGCTGAATGCCAGCTGGGTCCTGGCTGGGGACGTGGAGGGTGGTGGCCTGAGAGGCTGGCGTGTGAAGCCCGGACTCACTGGAGGCCTCGGTGTCTGAGGTGAAGACCTGGGGAGCAGAGCAGACTCCTGAGCCCCGGGGGTGTGGCGGTCAGGGCTCTGGCTCAGGCGAGGGAGAGCGGCATGCCTAGGCCTTACCTGCTTGGTGGGCGTGAGGCTGGCCAGGGCGCTCAGGTTGGTGGTGTCGGTGATGAGCATGGTCTGCGGGAGCAGGCCCGTGTGCGTGTACTGGGCCACCTCGGGCTTGTGGCTGTAGAGGGCTGGCCGCAGGGGAGAGAGGGGCAAGACATGGCAGACGTGCCTGACAGCCCCGACAGCCCCCGACCCAGGCCTCAAGACTGGGGAAAGAGGGGCGTGGGGCCTTGCTGAACGGCCAGACTGGAAAGCGGTTGGAGATCCAGGGCTGATTCTCAAAACTGGGGGCTCCAGAGAGAGGGACAGACCCTCTCCCCATTACAGGGGTCTGCTCAGCTGGGACTGATGCGGGGAAGCCTGGAGGAGGCCAGGAACCAACTCCAGCTCCTCTTGTCACCTGGAGACAGCACGTATGAAAGGGAACGGGAGGTGCGGGTGCAGGTGCTACTGTACTAAATGCAGGCACTATGTACTAAGCACAGGTGTTACTACACTAAACACAGGTGCTATGTACTAAGCGCAGGTGTTACTATACTAAACACAGGTGCTATGTACTAAGCGCAGGTGCTACTATACTAAACACAGGTGCTATGTGCTAGGTGCAAGTGCTACTATACTAAACACAGGTGCTATGTACTAGGCGCGGGTGTTACTATACTAGTCACAGGTGCTATGTACTAAGCGCAGGTGCTACTATACTAGATACAGGTGCTATGTACTAAGCGCAGGTGCTACTACACTAGACACAGGTGCTATATACTAAGCGCAGGTGCTACCATACCAAACACAGGTGCTATGTACTAAGCGCAGGTGTTACCATACTAAACACAGGTGCTATACTAAGCGCAGGTGCTACTATACTAAACACAGGTGCTATGTACTAAGCGCAGGTGCTACTATACTAAATACGGGTGCTATGTACTAGGCGCAGGTGTTACCATACTAAACACAGGTGCTATGTACTAAGCGCAGGTGCTACTATACTAAACACAGGTGCTGTGTACTAATTGCAGGTGCTACTATACTAAACACAGGTGCTATGTACTAAGCGCAGGTGCTACTATACTAAACACAGGTGCTGTGTACTAATTGCAGGTGCTACTATACTAAACACAGGTGCTGTGTACTAAGCACAGGTGCTACTATACTAAATACAGGTGCTATGTACTAAGCGCAGGTGCTACTACACTAAACACAGGTGCTATGTACTAGGCGCAGGTGCTACTGTACTAAACACAAGTGCTATATACTAAGTGCCGATGCTGGTGTAGTTTAGAAGAAAGGCAGGTGGCCCCTGTCAAAGAACAAGGCAGAGGACAGCAGTACCTCCATCTCCAGGCCACCTCTCCAAATATAACCCCATGTCTTGCCTACAGCACCCCCACCCACCCCACAGGAGACACATAGACCCCACAAGAGGCACACAGACACTAGCAAAACACACATAAACCACATATTCTCACAGTGACTCAGATAAAAACATAACGCACTTAAATATACTCTCAACCATGAACACACAAAGAAATATACAGGTCCAAAACCTCTTAACCCAGTCCCAAATTCCAAAAAGGTTTTGAAACCAAAAGATGTCCTTAAGATTGGCACTAGAGCTCATTTGGTGGCAACCCCAACCTGAACTTGACCTGAGGTTATGTGTGTGTTGAACCTGCTCTGTGGAAAGCCTGCCTTTGGCTGCAGAAAAAGCGGTGCCCTGATCATGGGGTCTGTCCCGAACCCTGCTGGGAGTGTTACTTGATAGCTGGCATATCCACCAAATTCCATTTTTTTTTTTTTTTTTTTTTTTTTAAGATGGAGTCTCGCCCTGTACTCCCAGGCTGGAGTAGAGACAGGGTTTCACCATCTTGGTTGGCCAGGCTGGTCTTGAACTCCTTACCTCAGGTGATCCACCCTCCTCGGATGGGATTATAGGTGTGAGCCTTCGTGAGCCTTCTTTTTTTTTTTTTGACAGAGTCTTGCTGATCCGCCCTCCAAAGTGTTGGGATTACAGGCATGAGCCTTCGAGAGCCTTTTTTTTTTTTTTTTTTTTTTTGGAGCGGGGAGACAGAGTCTTGCTCTGTCGCCTAGGCTGGAGTGCAGTGGGGCAATTTTGGCTTACTGCAACCTCCGCCTCCCGGGTTCAGGCGATTCTCCTGCCTCAGCCTCCCGAGTAGCTGGGACTACAGGCGCATGCCTCCACACCTGATTAATTTTTGTGCTTTTAGTAGAGATGGGGTTTCACCATGTTGGCCAGGCTGGTCTCAAACTCCTGATCTCAAGTGATCCACCAGCTTTGGCCTCTCAAGGTGCTGGGATTACAGGCATGAGTTACCACACCTGGCCCCACATTACCTTTCTAAAATCCGAATAGTAGATTCTGAAATTGATACGGCCCTAACAGTTTCGGAGAAACACAGGCATGCACCCTCAAACACATGCTTACCTGATAAACACCCAGACACGCACTAGGGATCTGCCCGCACAGACATGTACACACACAGATACACGCATGAACACAGGAACACACTGGCCTGCAGGCACCCTTAATCACAGAAACACACTTGTCCCAGAGACACTCAGACCACAACCCCTGCCAGGCACCCCCTTCCCCTGCATCCATTGACAGCCAACATCTGTCATCATTTCCCCCTGCATGAGGTTCAGGGGGCTCACCGTGGGGGTTCTGCAGCTGGGCCATGGTGGCCATGAAGGGGCTCTGGGTCACGTGGCTCTGCACAGGTGGCATGAGCGGTTGCTGGTAGGAGGCGTGCAGTGGCTGGGAGAACTGGACAGGCTGCAGGGTGGTCAGACTGCTGCCCATGCTGTTGATGACTGGCACACTTTGTGCCTGAGTGGAGGCCAGGCCTGGAGTGGAAGCAGTAGGAATCAGCTGGGTCCCCCAATTATATCCCACCCATCCCCAGGCCTCCTAGGGGCACCACCTCTCCCTCCCAGAACCCATGGGTTGGAGGAGGGGGCAGGGTGGTCAGGAAACAGCCCTCCACTGGGACCTGCCACTAATTTAAGTAGCCCTGGCAAGTCATTCCCCCTGTCTGAGCCTTTAGCTCCTTATCTAGGCTAGTGTGAGAGGCAGGCAGTGATTTGTTCAAAAATCATCAAACTGGGGTTCCCTGGAGCCCTGGGGTTCCACAGGAGTGCCAAGGCCCTGGGGTTAGCTCTCTGCTCCCCTCTCTCAGCAGCGCCCTATCTAGCTTATGTTCTGGGCTTCTGCATAATTGTACCTGCAAATAAAGGCTTTCTGGGCTTCATTTTTCTTCATAAAACAGAAAACTTAGAAAACAAATCCTCTAGCCTGCAGAGGATTTGTGATAAAAGAGGGAAAAATAATGCTAAAAGATATTTTTAAAAAGAAAACAAAAAACCGGTCCCCTTACCCTGCTGTAGTTTGCATAGACCCTTCACCTTCTGAGGAACTACAGAATTGATGTATCAGGCCTTCTGCCTCCCTCCCCACTTGAGTTGCTGAGATTTTGGTCTGTTTGGTTCAATCAGGTATCACTGATGTAGCACAGTGCCCAGTCCAGAGTAGGCACTGGATAAATACATGTTGAATGAATGAATGAATGAATGAATGAATGAGTGAGTGAGTGAGTCCCACTGGCTCTTCCAGCTCCTGGATCCTGCGGTTGCCCCATAAGCCTGCCACCCAGGTGCCCATCCGTCCCCACCAGCTTACCAATGACCAGGGTGGAGGCACCTGTGTTGGTGAACGTGGGACCCAGGGAGGCAGGCTCACCAGGCCCAATGGTCATGACCCCAGGAAGAGAGGCCATGATGAGGTTCTGGGGCTGCTGGTTGAGGCCTGGGGATGTCTGCTCCAAGCTGTGCAGTGCTGTCAGGGTGCTGACAGGGGGGAGTGGGCCCCCAGTTGCCGAGACCTACGAGGAGAAGCTGACCTGAGTTGGGGGCTGGGGCGGTGTCCCATCCCCACAGGGCCTCCCTTGGGACTTCTCGGGAATCACCCTGCCAAGGAAAGATGAGGTTGGATTTTTCCTACAGGCAGGGACACTCACCAACTTGGCTTCCGTGCTCAGGAGGCTGTGGCTGGGCTCCAGGCCTGTGGGGGACACTTGGTGCAGGGGTGTAGACACTGTCACTAAGGGACCGCCACTACTTGAGGGCACTTCTGCAGTCTCACTGGTTGCAGGCTGTCCATAGCGCACACCTGGAGGGGAAGCGGTGTCCAGCCTCCGCACCCACTTCCCGGCCCTCCCCTGCCCCCAGCCCACCTCACTTCTAACGGCATCATCGGTGTGCTTAGGCCAGCTGCCTGTCTGTCTATGCAGCCAGCAAACTCTGCCTGTGCTTCTCCCTTGTGCCAAGCCCTGGGTCAGCTGCTCCCAGTTCCTTGAAGGCTGGGACTGCATTTATTAGCTCCATTCCGCCCACTGCCTAGTGCTAGGCCTCTACATGCGGGAGGTGCTCCGTAAAAGACAGCTGAACTGAATTTAACTGAATTTAGTTGAGTTGAAATGAATTGAATTGATATGATCTGAAATGAATGAATTGAAGTAACCCAAATCAAGTTAGGCTGAACTGAGTGGAATCATAAGTAGAGTGGTTGGTGTGGAGTACAATAGATGGAGTTGAGTGGAATGAGTGGAATCAAGTGGAATGGGTCCACTGGAGTGGTAAAGGGTAGAGAGGATGGATGGGGAGGAATAGAGTGAGGTGAATGGTGTGGGGTAGAGTGGATAGAATGGTGAGGAATAGCGTGGAGTGGAGTGGAATGAATGGAGTGGCTAGAGTGGAGGGGAAGGAGTAGAGTGGAATGGAGGAGTTTGTGAATAGAGTGGAGGGGATAGAGTAGAGTGGAGTGGATGGAGTTTGTGAATAGAGTGGAGTGGATGGCGTAGAGTGGAGTGGGTGGAGTTTGTGAATAAAGGGGATGGAGTAGAGTGGAATGGATGGAGTTTGTGAGTAGAGTGGACTGGATGGAGTAGAGTGGAGTGGGTGGAGTTTGTGAAAAGAGTGGACGGGATGGAGTAGAGTGGAGTGGGTGGAGTTTGTGAATAGAGTGGAGGGGATGGAGTAGAGTGGAACGAATGGAGTTTGTGAGTAGAGTGGAGTGGATGGAGTAGAGTGGAATGGAGGAGTATGTGACTAGAGTGGAGGGGATGGAGTAGAGTGGCGTGGGTGGAGTTTGTGAATAGAGTGGAGGGGGTGGAGTAGAGTGGAGTGGGTGGAGTTTGTGAATAGAGTGGAGGGGATGGAGTAGAGTGGAATGGATGAAGTTTGTGAGTGGAGTGGAGTGGATGGAGTAGAGTGGAATGGAGGAGTATGTGAATAGAGTGGAGGGGATGGAGTAGAGTGGCGTGGGTGGAGTTTGTGAATAGAGTGGAATGGATGGTGTAGAGTGGAATGGATGAAACGTGGAGTCATGTGGAGTGGATGGAGATGAGCGGTTGGACAGATAGAATGAAGTGGTATGGAGTAGAGAGGAGTGGAGAAAGAGTGGGTGGAGTGGATGTAGTGGAATCTAATGGAGTTGGATGGAGTGTAGTGGATGGAGTGGGTGGAGAGCAGTGGATGGAATGGGTGGAGTGGAGTGGATGGAGTGGGTGGAGTGCAGTGGATGGAATGGGTGGAGTGGATGGAGTGGGTGGAGTGCAGTAGATGGAATGGGTGGAGTGGAGTGGATGGAGTGGGTGGAGTGCAGTGGATGGAATCGGTGGAGTGGAGTGGATGGAGTGGGTGGAGTGCAGTGGATGGAATGGGTGGAGTGCAGTGGATGGAATCGGTGGAGTGCAGTGGATGGAATTGGTGGAGTGCAGTGGATGGAGTGGGTGGTGTGCAGTGGATGGAGTGGGTGGAGTGCAGTGGATGGAATGGATGGAGTGCAGTGGATGGAGTGGTTGGAGTGCAGTGGATGGAATGGGTGGAGTGGAGTGGATGGAGTGGGTGGAGTGGAGTGGATGGAGTGGGTGGAGTGGAGTGGAGTGGATGGAATGGGTGGAGTGCAGTGGATGGAGTGGGTGGAGTGCTGTGGATGGAGTGGGTGGAGTGTAGTGGATGGAATGGGTGGAGTGGAGTGGATGGAGTGGGTAGAGTGGAGTGGATCGAGTGGGTGGAGTGCAGTGGATGGAGTGGGTGGAGTGCAGTGGATGGAATGGATGGAGTGCAGTGGATGGAGTGGTTGGAGTGCAGTGGATGGAATGGGTGGAGTGGAGTGGATGGAGTGGGTGGAGTGGAGTGGATGGAGTGGGTGGAGTGGAGTGGAGTGGATGGAATGGGTGGAGTGCAGTGGATGGAGTGGGTGGAGTGCTGTGGATGGAGTGGGTGGAGTGTAGTGGATGGAATGGGTGGAGTGGAGTGGATGGAGTGGGTAGAGTGGAGTGGATCGAGTGGGTGGAGTGCAGTGGATGGAGTGGGTGGAGTGCAGTGGATGGAATGGGTGGAGTGCAGTGGATGGAGTGGGTGGAGTGGAGTGGATGGAGTGGAGTGGATGGAATGGGTGGAGTGCAGTGGATGGAGTGGGTGGAGTGCTGTGGATGGAGTGGGTGGAGTGCAGTGGATGGAGTGGGTGGAGTGGAGTGGATGGAGTGGGTGGAGTGGAGTGGATGGAATGGGTGGAGTGGAGTGGATGGAATGGGTGGAGTGCAGTGGATGGAGTGGGTGGAGTGCTGTGGATGGAGTGGGTGGAGTGCAGTGGATGGAGTGGGTGGAGTGGAGTGGATGGAATGGGTGGAGTGCAGTGGATGGAATGGGTGGAGTGGAGTGGATGGAATGGGTGGAGTGCAGTGGATGGAGTGGAGTTGAATGGAGTGAATGGAATGGGGTTAATTGTAGTGGATGGAATGAAGTTGGATGGAATGGATGGAGTGGAGTAGATAGAGTTGATGGAATGAAGTCGGATGGAGTATGTGAATAGAGTGGTGGGGAATGGTATAGATGGAATGGAGTGGAAGGGAATGGGGTGAATGGAGTGGCATGAATGGAGTGGGGTTAATTGTAGTGGGTGGAGTGGGGTGGGATGGAGGGAAGAGAGTGGAAAGGAGTGGAGTGAATGGAATGGAGATAGAGCAGAAGGGATGAAGGGACAGAGTGAACTAGAGTGATAAGGAGTGGCAGGAATGGAATGGAATGGAACCCAACAGAAGTGCTAAGAGGTTTAGGTGAGTGCCGTCACTGGGACAATCCTCCCCAACCCTCCCACCTACCCACATGTCCCCTGTTCCCACATAGCACTCACCGTGGACCTTACTGGGGGAGAGGGCGGGTGGGGGCAGGCCAGGGGAGCTATGAGCAGGCAGCGCAGGTCCGGGGCCTGGCCCTGGTGGGGGCCCGCTATATGTGTCCATGGCCAGCTTGTGCCGGAAGGCTTCTTCTTTGCGCCGGTTGGCAAACCAGTTGTAGACACGCACTTCCGTGACGAGGTTGGAGCCCAGCCCCTGTGCCTGTGATGGGGACACCCCCCTCTGGATGCATTCCGCCCTGCAGAAATAGCCACCCATGAGCCTCCAGGCCAGGCTCAGAGGAACCCTCTCCTGGGCATGAGGGCAAAGGTTCTGAGAAGCTGAGCTCTGCCTGCGGATTTGAGGCTGGTACATCTGGGCTCCAGTGCGAGTTCTGCTCTGTGACCTTGGGCAAGTGACAGCCTCTCTGACCTGTTTCTCCATTCATAAAGTCAGCAAAACAGCCATAGGATTGGCCAGGCATGGCGGCTCATGCCTGTAATCTCAGCACTTTGGGAGGCCGAGGCGAGTGGATCACCTGAGGTCAGAAGTTTGAGACCAGCCTGGCCAACATGGCGAAATCCTGTCTCTACTAAAAATACGAAAATTAGCCGGGCATGGTGGTGGGCGCCTGTAATCCCAGCTGCTTGGGAGGCTGAGGAAGGAGAATTGTTTGAACCTGGGAGGTGGAGGTTGCAGTGAGCCAAGTTCGCCCCATTGCACGCCAGCCTGGGAGACAGGAGTGAAACTCCATCTCAAAACAAAAAACAAAACAAAACAAAAACACCAGCCATAGGATTGTAGAGGGAATAAAACTAGGTGAGTGTCCATAGAAAGGGTAGCTTGGTGTATAGGGTGCAAGGGGGTTGCTAGGAATGGGGTTAGCTTCAAGTATTCTCGGTTCTCTGGGCCAGGCTAAGCCAGCTCAGGAGTTCTCAGCGACCGGACAGCCTCTTCCAGGACCTAGAGTCCCCTTCCCCTTCCCTGGCCTTGCCTCGGCCCGGATGAAGCCAGCGCTGCTTCCCACCCGCCGCCCTACCTATTGCACTCCTCCACCAGCGTCTCTCGCTCCTCCTTGCTGGGGTTCTTCTGCCTCTCATAGGCCTGGAACAGGATCTGCTGCGATGCTGGGCCCCACTTGAAACGGTTCCTCCGCCCCTTCTTGGTGGGTAGCTCATCACCTGTGGGCTCTTCAATCAGCCCTCCCTGCCCTGCATGGGTGAACTCTGCAGGCACAGAAAGCCAAGAATGGGGTACTGGCCACTCACATGCCCATTCAGTTCCCCTGACCATGCCCTTGATTCTTTCTCGTTGCCAGGGTGCTGAACCAGAGGAGCTGACAGCTAGAACTTGGAAATCATCTAATCCAGTGATGACAGACACACAGCGCATACGCCACCACTTTCTTAACCTGTGTCCAAGGCAGACATCACTAATCAATCCCTGAATGCTTTCCTACCAACCCAAGATATAATCTCACAATCTGTCTCAATACAAGGCTGCAGGTAAGCTTTAGCATTTGTTCTGATTTGGCACGTGTACTATCCCCATTTTACAGATGAGGAAGCTGATGCTCAGAGTGCTGGGAGGAGGAGACTGCAGTGAGGTGAGACTGTGCCACTGCACTTCAGCCTGGGCAACAGAGCAAGACTGTCTCAAAAAAAAAAAAAGGCCAGGCGCGGTGGCTCAAGCCTGTAATCCCAGCACTTAGGGAGGCTGAGGCGGGTGGATCACGAGGTCAAGAGATCGAGACCATCCTGGTCAAATGGTGAAACCCCGTCTCTATCAAAAATACAAAAAATTAGCTGGGCATGGTGGCGCGTGCCTGTAATCCCAGCTACTCAGGAGCTGAGGCAGGAGAATTGCCTGAAACCGGGAGGCAGAGGCTGTGGTGAGCCGTGATCGCGCCATTGCACTCCAGCCTGGGTAACAAGAGCAAAACTCCGTCTCAAAAAAAAAAAAAATAGTTTCTATTATAACAGGCACAGTGGTGTGTGCCTGCCATCCCAGCTACTCAAGAGGCTGAGGCAGGAGTATCACTTGAGCCCAGAAGTTCAAAACCAGCCTGGGCAACATGGCAAGACCTCATCTCAAAAAACAAAGTTTACGTTATGAAGTATAAAAAGAGTCATTCAACTGAAAATAGCTGAAAAGAGGAGCTCTTTTCCTTCTGGGGTTGCTAAGCTGGTAGGATGGCAGCCCAGGGCTTCCAGAACCCATCTTTGCCTATATGAGGAGAGACTGTCTGAGAATGAAACCAACATAAAAGAAAACATAGTCAAGAAATGCTGTGGGAACGTCATTTGAGCCCCTTGATCTAGCCATGCCTGAAGTAGCCCTGGACTCCTCACATGCATGAGTCAATACGTTCCCTTTTCTGTTTAAATCAGTTTGGTTGGGGTTCTATCCCTTGTTAAAGAGTTCTAATACTTCAGTCATAAATTGACTCTGCATCTCAAATTCTCTAATTTCTCCTGAAAAGTGAAAAATCCCCCAGGAGAAGCTACTTGGGCCACAGTTTGCATCTGTGTTCTCGGCTCTAGGCTGAAGTCCTTGATAACGTTTGTTTTTAATACATTTTATTGAATACTGTAAAATTTCTTCTAGTGATGGTTTTAGGAGAAGACTCTCTTTTCCTCAGAAACTAAATCTAGATTTACTTTATTGTTTCTTCTCATACAAATTAAAATAGTATTAAAATGTACTGTTTATCCAAGTGTGTATTACAGCCCAGTAGAGAGTGAACACCCCCTCATAACTGGGATAAGAGGTAGCTGTAACATAAGGATTAGAGCTGTCTATTACATACATTATTTTGTGTTTATTTGTTTATTTTTGAGACGGAGTCTCCCTCTGTCACCCAGGCTGGAATGCAGTGGCATGATCCTGGCTCATTGCAACCTCTGCTTCCCAGGTTCAAGCGATTCTCATGTCTCAGCCTCCTGAGTAGCTGAGATTACAGGTGTGCACCACCACACCGAGCTAATTTTTGTATTTTTAGTTAAGATAGGGTTTCATCATGTTTGCCAGGCTGATCTCGAACTCCTGTCCTCAAGTGATCTGCCCGCCTTGGCCTCCCAAAGTGCTGAGACTACAGGCATGATCCATCGCACCCGGCCTGCATACATTTTTTTTTTCAACAGTGATTTTTACTGTTGGTGGACATGTAAATTGTTATTCTTTGGAAGGAACTATGCCAGCATGTACCAAAGATTTGAAAGCGTCACTCTGTGTTCCAGCATCCCACTTCTAGCAATGTACCCTCCAGACACAGTCACATGCGAACATGCACTTACATAAATAAGGATATTTTTTGCTGCAGTTGGTTGTAGTCACAGATTGCAAAAACCCTAAAAGTCCTTCGGGAGGTGGCCAGTTAAATAACAGCCAGCAGCCCTTATAAAGAATGAGATCGATCAGTCTCTCAGTGCCAATATGAAAAGACGTACAAGATTCATTTCCAAGAGACAAAGCAGAAGGGGCAGATAGTGTGTCTGGTATGTTCCCATTAATCAGAAAAAGAGCAAGAAAATAACACAGCGATTGCTACTGTAGGCAGAAAATACCTCTGGAAGGATATACAACAGTCTGGGAATTCCAGCGACTGCTTTAGGGGAAAGACATCAGTTTTTTCCTTGTAAATTCTGTTTATCTTAGTTTTTGTAACCAAGTGTGTATTGCCTTTCTTTCTCTCATTCTTTCTTTCTTTCCTTGACTTTGCCTCCCTCCCTCCTGCCCTCCCTCCCTCCCTCCCTCCCTTCTCTCCTTTCTTCCTTCTTTCCTTCCTTCCTTCCTATCTTCCCTTTCTTCCCTTTCTTTCTTTTTTAGAGGAGGAACCTTGCCATGTTGCCCAGGTTGGACTCGAACCCATGGGCTCAAGCAGTCCTCCCACCTCAGCCTCCCAAGTAGCTGAGATGGTAGCTCAGCACTCTGCCTGGCTATTTCCTTTTGTAAAAAACCTGGATAATTAATAAAAGAAATGTCAAAAAAAAAAAATTACACATAGATGGAGGTTGAAAGGTGACGGTGCGCTTGGGATTTGGTGGGGTGTGAGGCCTGGAGAAGAAAACTCACCATCCCCTAAGTATTGGGCTCCCAGCTCTTCCTGAGTTTGCAGTGGAGGATTTCCTGAGCATAGACCTCGCCTCTGAGCCTTTACTGATGCTGTTCCTTCTGCCTGAAACACCCTTCCCTGCATCTCCATGGGTCAAAATTCAACTCCCTTTTTCAGACCTAGTCTAAAGGTCATATGTACAACATAAGCCTTCGTGATACCTCTGCTCCCCGAGGAAGAACAGATTACTCCCCCGTTGACAGTCAGCTCAGCACCCTGAAATGCTTTGTGCAATACTCTGCACTGGATCAGGCACCCAAAAAAAATGCTTGATAAATAGTAGCCATTCTTGTTGCTGCTGCTGCTGCTGTCCCATTCTAATACATGTCTCACTGGATCATCATGATCTTTTCTCCCCCTTTCCCACTTCACTAACCATGGGCTCTTAGACGGCAGGGACCCAGGCCAGGTGTGGTGGCTCACGCCTGTAATCCCAGCACTTCAGGAGGCGAAGACCAGTGGATCACCTGATGTCAGGAGCTCGAGACCAGCCTGGCCAACATGGTGAAACCCTGTCTCTAAAAATATAAAAAATTAGCCAGCCATGGTGGCACACGCCTGAAATCCCAGCTACTCTGGAGGCTGAGGCAGGAGAATCTCTTGAACCCAGAAGATGGAGGTTGCAGTGAGCTGAGGTTGCACCATTGCACTCCAGCCTGGGCAATAAAAGCAAAACGCCATCTCAAAAAAAAAAAAAAAAAAAAAAAAAAAAAAAAAGAAAGAAAGAAAAGAAAAGAAAAAAGAAAGAAAGAAAAGAAAGCAGGGACCCAGTTCATCCATCTTTGGATGTTCAGGACCAAGCCCACTCCTGTCCACAGAGTGCCTGGTGCAGAATAGGTGATAAACACAGGTCAAATCCACTGCCTTCCTTTCCATCTGCCTGTCTGTATAATGGCGATGTTGAAGCTTCCAGCCCCCACCTATGAGTTAGGGGAGAGCCCTGGGCCCTGCCCGGGAAGACGCGGGTGGGGTCATTACTTACGCTGTGCCACCTCTCGCTGCTTGCGGACGTACCAGGTGTACAGGGCGGCCCGCTTCTGCGTCTTCATGGGAGTGCCCTTGTTGAGGTGCTGGGACAGGTGGGACTGGTTGAGGCCAGTGGTGTCAACCACCTCCCTCTGTGGGATGTTGTGCTGCTGCAGGTAGGACTTGACCATCTTCGCCACACGCCATGGGTCCTCCCTGGAGGAGGACAAGGACAGGGTCTGCTCAGCAGGGTGTCCCTCACCATAAGTGGGGCTGGGGTCCTGGGTGCTGAATCCTTGTCAGCCCTGATGGGGGGGTGGGGGACTGTGCAAGAAAGCAGATATGGAGCCCAGGAGCCTACACCTCAACTCAGGGGCAGGGAGGTATGGTCATCTATACCAGGACACAGGGACACGGACATATGGTCATGAGGACAGAGACTTGTAGGCGCACACACATGACAAACGTGGACACAGGCCTATGAGCACACAGACCCTGGAACAGATAAAGGTTTAGAAACATGGATACACAGATGCATGGACACAGATGAAGATATGTGGATAGATGGATGGATGGCTGAATGGATGGATGGGTGGATGGATGGATGGGTGAATGGATGGATGGATGGGTGAATGGATGGATGAGAGGATGGATGGATGGGTGAATGGGTGGATGGATGGGTGAATGGATAGATGGATGGGTGAATGGATGGATGGGTGGGTGGATGGATGGGTGAATGGATAGATGGATGGGTGAATGGATGGATGGGTGGGTGGATGGATGGGTGGGTGGATGGATGGGTGGGTGGGTGGATGGATGGATGGGTGGATGGATGGATGGATGGGTGGATGGATGGATGGATGGGTGGGTGGGTGGATGGATGGATGGGTGGACGGATGGATGGGTGGATGGATGGATGGATAGGTGAATGGATGGGTGGGTGGGTGGGTGGGTGAATGGATGGATGGATGGGTGAGTGGATGGATGGGTGGGTGAATGGATGGATGGATGGGTGGGTGGATGGATGGGTGGGTGGATGGATGAGTGGATGGATGGATGGGTGAATGGATGGATGGGTGGGTGGATGGATGGGTGGGTGGGTGGATGGATGGATGGGTGGATGGATGGATGGATGGGTGAATGGATAGATGGGTGGGTGGGTGGATGGACGTATGTATGGATGGATGGGTGAATGGATGGATGGATGGGTGAATGGATGGATGGGTGGGTGGGTGGATGGATGGATGGATGGGTGAATGGATGGATGAATGGATGGATGGATGGATGCATGGATGGGTGGGTGGATGAACTGGTGGATAGATGGGTGGACTTGTGGATGGATGGTAGGATAGGGTGGATGGATGGTAGGATAGGGTGGGTGGATGGTAGGGTAGGGTGGGTGGATGGTAGGGTAGGGTGGATGGATGATGGATGAATTTGCGAAACTGGTAGGTGGGTAGATGGATAATGGATGGATGGATTTGTAGTAGTAGGGTGGATGGATCTGTGGATGGATGGATGGGTGAATGGATGAATGGATGGTTGGATGAATGAATTGGTAGATAGATTGATGGACTAGTGGATGGATAGATGTGGGATGGACTGGTGGATTGGTGGGTGGATGGACGATGGATGGATGGATGGATGGGTGGATGGGTGATGGATGGATGATGGATGATGGATGGATGGATGGATGGATGGATGGGTGGATGGGTGATGGATGGATGGATGAAGGAGACCTGCTAGAAGAAGAAAGGCATTGAATCTGAAAACAAGGAAAGAATTATGGATTCTTCAATCTTATAGCCAGGGCCACTGAGGCTCAGAGAATTTGTATCATTTTGTCTCTTGCCCAGGGTCACAGGACAAGCAGAGTCCCATCCACCTGAAAGGATTCAGTTCTAAGCCAGCCTTTTGGGCAAAAAGTCACAAAGTCAAAATGCTTCCTGAGGCCATGTGTGGTGGTTCACACCTGTAATCCCAGCACTGTGGGAGGCCGAGGAGGGTGGATCATCTGAGGTAAGGCGTTCGAGACCAGCCTGGCCAAAATGGTGAAACTCTATCTCTACTAAAAACACAAAAACTAGCCGGGCATGGTGGCAGGAGCCTGTAATCCTAGCTACTTGGGAGGCTGAGGCAGGAGAATCATTTGAACCTGGGAGGCGGAGGTTGTAGTGAGCCGAGATCAACGCTTTCTGAAAATCTGCCCCCTTTGCTGTGACCAGGCCAGTTTCCCCGCAGCACCAGAGCAAGCGCCTGGTTTCTCAACAGAGTCTCAGATGACAGAGTTGACATTCAGAGGCCTCATTGTACCAAAAATACATTAAAAAATGCATGTGAGCAATGGAATCCCACTCTGTGGGCTGAGATCCTCCCACCAGAGACTCAAAGGACCCAGTGCCACCTGTGACTCATGGCCCTGCTCACTGTGGGTCTCCCTGTGGGAGAACAGAAGGGATCAGACTGCCTGAGCCATAGAGATTTTCTCTCCTCTCCTGCTCTATCTCAATCCACGCCTCTTTCTCTCTCCCTCTGCTGAGCTTGTATTACTAATATGTCACAGGCTGGGCGCAGCGGCTCACGCCTGTAATCCCAGCACTTTGAGAGGCCAAGGTGGGTAGATCTCTTGAGGTTAGGAGTTTGAGACCATCCTGGCCAAACCCCATCTCTACCAAAAAAAAAAAAAAGAAAGAAAAAAAAAAATTAGCCAGGTTTGGTGGCAGGTGCCTGTAATCCAGCTACTCGGGAGGCTGAGGCAGGAGAATTGCTTGATTTTGGGAGGCGGAGGTTGCAGTGAGCCAAGATCGTCACTGCACTCTAGCCTGGGCAACAGAGTGAGACTCTGTCTCAAAAAAAAAAAAAAAAAAAAGTCACAGATAAATGCAGCTCAACACAGCGGCACTGAAGCAGGCAGACTGGGATTTCAAGATTTGAACCTGGGTCTACAGGATTCCAAAGCCTGTGCTCTCCCCTGCCTCACTGAGCAATGCGCTTCTAGAATTTGAGCCTTCTAATATTGGCACAGGTGACAGATGGCACAAGTGGAAGGCAATTCTTTGCCACGTTGTTTGCCATAGCAAAAGATTGGGAGTTACGGGGAGCCCAGTGAAAGGATACTGATTAACTAAATGAGGGTGCATCTGTTCAGTGCAGCCGCTGGAAAAGCCCCACTGAGGCAGCTCTGTGTGCCCAGATGGAGTGGAGTTTATCTGGTGTGTCTGCTGTGCTGCTATTTACGAAAAACTTGAAGTGAGGTAAAAGAGGATTTCTACATATTTCTGACCATATAAAACACGGAGGGCATGCAAGGAACGGGGTCTCTGGTTACTTCCAGAGAACAGGGTGCTGGGGAGGGGAGTGAGAAGGACCGTTTTCTCTGTTGTCCTTGTGTACTTTTTAAATTACATAATACATAATATGCTATATATACATACATGATATTTATTTTTATTTTTCTTTTTAGAGGCTACTCGCTCTGTCTCCCAGGCTAGAGCGCAGAGGCGTGATCATAGCTCACTGTAGCCTCAAACTCCTGGGCTCAGTCGATCCTCCCACCCAGACTCCCAAGTACTTGGGACCACAGGCACCTGCCACCATGGCCAGCTAATTTTTGTACTTTTTTTTTTTTTTTTTTGGTAGAGACAGGGTCTTGCTATGTTGGCCAGGCTGGCCTCAAACTCCTAGGCTCAAGCAATCCTCCCACCTTGGCATATATAGTATTTAAAACTGAATTGTAAACCAGGTGTGGTGGCTTATGTTTGTAATCCCAGCTCTTTGAAAGGCCGAGGTAGTAGGATCACTTGAGCCAGTAGTTCAAGACCAGCCTGGACAACCTCGTGAGACTCTGTCTCTATAAAAAACAATAATAACAAATTAGCCATGCATGGTGGTGCACACCTGTAGTCCCAGCTTCTCAGGAGGCTAAGGGGAGGATTGCCTGAGACCAGGAGTTTGAGACCAGCCTGAACAACATAATGGGACTCTGTTTCTCCAAAAAAGTAGAAAAATTAGCCAGGTGTAGTGGTACAAGCCTGTAGTCCCAGCTACTCAGAAGGCTGCGACAAGAGGATCACTTGAGCCTGGGAGGTCGGGGCTGCAGTGAGCTGTGATCACACCATGGCACTCCAGCCTTGGCAACAGGTGAAACCCTGTCTAAAACAAAAACAAAAACAAAAACAAAAACAAAAACAAAAACTGAAGACTCATGTTTCTTGAGAATTTACTGTAAGCTAGGCACTGTGCTGAGGGCTGGCCACTTAAATCTTATAACCCCAGGAAGTAGACCCTACTCTATCCCCATCTCACAGAGGAGAAAACCGAGGCTCAGAAAGGCGCAGTCACTTGTCCAAGGGGATCTAGTTGGGACTCAAGAATATTTCATGTTGCCAGGACCCTCCAGGCTTCTCTGCAGCCTCTCTCTCTCCCTTCTTTCGGAAACTCTAGGATCCTCTCTCCTGCACCTCCCCGCTTCGCTGGGTGTCCGTCAGAGCTTGGAGGGAAGGGCCGTACAAAGTCCAGCCTTGTGCTCCATGGCAAACATGTTTATCTGATCCTAGAGCCGGGCAGCCCGATGCCTCCCCTCCCCCACCTGCAGCCATTACCCTCCCGTGCCTCCTCCCTCCATCCCTTCTCTCTCCTGCAAAGGGAATAGGGTCAGTCTTCCTCTAACCAGAACCTCTCCTGGGCTCAAACCAAAGATTTACTATCTGCCTCTGTCCATCTGTTTCTCTCTCTCTCTCCCCCCACTCCCCAACCAGATCAAATTTAAGCTGAACTTGAAAATAAAACAGAGGCCAGCCACCCTGCACAAATGCACGCGCAATCCTTAGAAACAGAGGACAGGCTTTCGAATGTGAGAATGGAAAGGCAGCTGTGAAAATGAGCTTCTACGAATGTTCTACGTTTAACCAGTTCCCAGTAGCGCTGGGCAACAAATCCACAACAAAAAAGTGAACTTTCAGCGCCAGTTAGGACAGAGAGCCAGGAGGGCTCATCTTTCCCTTTTCTGGGAGAAGCCACCTGAGCCATTTTTTTCTAGAACCTACTGAATCAATGTCTCTCTCTCTCTCCCCCCACTCCCCACCTTCTTTCTATCACTCTCTCTCTCTTCTGTGTGTCTCTTACACACACAGAGTCTCCAAGGGCCTGACTCTTTTTGAGGGCAGTTTCTTCAACTGTCCTGGCTCAGAACTAAGAGGCTAAGACCGGGCACAGTGACTCACGCCTGTAATCCCAGCACTTTGGGAGGCCGAGGCAGGTGGATCATATCAGGTCAGGAGTTGGAGACCAGCCTGGCCAACATGGGGAAACCCCAGCTCTACTAAAAATACAAAAGTTAGCTGGGCATGGTGTCACATGCCCATGGTCCTAGCGAGGCAGGAGGATCACTTGAACCCGGGAGGTGGAGGTTGCAAAGAGCCAAGATTATGCCACTATACTCCAGCTCCAGTGACAGAGTGAGACTCCATCTCAAAAAAAAAAAAAAAAAAAAAAAAGAACTAAGAGGCCAAGTCTCTAGGCATCTACTATGGGTTTGAGAGTCAAACCACTGTGGGTTCCAGTCCCATCACTGCGACCTAGCCACATGCGCTCTTGCATGACCCACCTCTGCCCTGCACCGTGGGGTAAACACACCCCTACCTCACACTGCTACTGGGAAAATTAAATGAGCTTCACATAGGGAGGCTGAACTTAGGGCAGGGCCTGGCACACGGCACGTGCTGAACTCACAGAACAATATTGTCATCATCACTGTCTTAACACAGCCCTGGAGACCCTTGGCCTCACATGGCAGAGTCCAGGAGAGGTGAAGACCCACCCACATCTTCCTCTCTCCTCCTACCCATTCCAGGGTCAATCAGACGTCCAAGGCTTTGAGCCTTTTGCCCTCTGGCCCCTCGGGTTTCAGGACATGCAAGTTTGTGGCGTTCATCTCCACATCTGGAGAGGGAGCTGACTTCTCAGTGTGGGGGCTGTAGAGCTGGCCTCGATTCTTTGCTTAACCTCCATGTACTTCAGTTTCCTCATCTGTGAAACGGGGCTAATGATATTTCAGACTTCAGAGATGGCCGGGAGGAAGAAGTGAGTTTAGGGCATCTCTAAGCCGTTGGTAAGGGCCAAAGCACTGCATGGAAGTGAGCTGACGGCCAAGTTGAACGGCAGGAATGACTGGGGCCTCAAGATTGCTGTATGGAGCCCGAGGTGGGAGGACCTGGGACCAAGTCCTGGCCTTCCTTCAGTCCTTTGGAAGAGTTTCATTGGGTAAGGTACTGCCTCTCTGAACCTTAATTTGCTCATCTGTAAAATGGGATCACTAATAATAAGTGCTGTGTATTGCACTTACTACATGTGTAATCTACAGGGCCATGCCATTTTAACCCTGGGGACAAGACTTATTGTCACCTCTACCCTGCAGACAAAACCGAGGCTCAGAAAAATAAAGTCCCCTGCCCAAGCTAGAAAGGGCAGAGCTGGGATTAGGATGCAGGTGGGCTGGCTTTTGTCACGGACATCAGATCCTCCGTCTTCCCTTGGCTACTGTCTTCCTGGGTCTCGGTGCCCGGGTGCTGCCTGATGGGCAGGATCAGAGAGCTTCAAGGTTGCAGTTTGAAGGCCTGGTGCAGTGGCTCACACCTGTAATCTCAGCACTTTGGGAGGACAAGGCAGGTGGATCAACTGAGATCGGGAGTTCGAGACCAGCCTGGCCAACATAGTGAAACCCCGTCTATACTAAAATCCAAAAAAATCAGCCAGACATAGTGGGATGCGCCTGTAATCCCAGCTACTTGGGAGGTTGAGGCAGGAGAATCGCTTGAACCTGGGAGGTGGAGGTTGAAGTGAGCCGAGATTGCACCATTGCACTCCAGCCTGGGTGACGAGAGGGGAACTCCATCTCAAAAAAAAAAACAACAGGTTGGAGTTTGAGCTGATAGAAGATAGACAGGACCTGAGAGGACACCCAGGAAGGAATCCAGGGTCCCAGTTTCTTCCTTGGTCACGTCTCAGGCTGCTGAGCCCTGGCTAACAGGGTAGCGATGTCCTCAGGGCCTCAGAGAATCCTGGTCACTCATTCACTCCTGAGGTGCACCAGCCAGTGAGCTGGATGGAGGCTACACGTGGTGAATAAGGCAACACAGGCCTTGCCCTTGAAGAGCTTCTATTTTCACGGCAGGAGATAGAACACAGATAAATCAGATGATAACGAGCCATGACAGGGAGCAGGAGAAAGAAAACGACCGCAGTGGAAGAGAGTGACTGGAGGCGGGGCCCCCTTTAGGACGGAGCAGCCAGGGAGCTGAAGGAGAAGGAACCGGCCATGGGAAGATCTGGAAAGAGGTTCCAAGCAGGAGGATGAGCACGTGCAAAGGCCTGGGGTGGGAATTGGCTTGGGGCGCTGAGGAACAGCAAAGCCACAATGACTGCAGCAAAGTAAGCGAGGAAGAGAAACACCTGGGCAGAGATCCGGGAATTTGGTGGGTGGAGGGAGGGGAATGAATCCGCGGCAGGGAGTCTGGCCAGGGAGGAAAACTGAGGGCAGCAGGAGAGGAACAGACTTGCCCAAGGTCACGCAGGGAACTGAAGGGGGGATCTGAAGAACGAGCTCAGGGTCCTGCTGTAGCCACAAACATGGGGTACCCTAGGGACGCCCGGCACCCAGGACCCACCCAGGCTTCTTCCCAGACACGGATTTCTCCCAGGAAACAGCTTCTACTAGATGTTCTACTTCTGCACCGTCTTCCCAGCCTTAACCTCCCCGACGGCCCGGCCCTTCAACAGGGGTCCCCCGCCCCTCTCTCCCTGGCCCCTTCCCCAACCCTGAGGCTGGAGGCCCCACTTTTTTTTTCACTCAGGGTGTTTTCTGATCCCTTTTGTTACCTGAACAATAAGTAACCCAGGTAGTTAGTTATAAACTCTGCAGGAACAAGGAGCTGGTTGATAATTTATAGCAACATCTCAAATTTAAATGGAAAGTAAATAGCATGCTGTTAGCATTAAAGAAAACCCAATCGGGGCAGCGGGAAGCACTCCAGCCTCCTTGCAAGCTTGGGGTGCCTCATTCTCTCCCGTGCCCCTTCTCCCAGCTGGGTCTGACCCCCGCCCCTGGCTCCTCAGTTCTGCTGCTCCCAGCTGCTCTCTCCATCCCCCGGTGGCCTCTCTCTCTCTCTCTACCCTATCTGCCTCAGCTTCCAGGTCTCTACTGTCCCTAGGAAGCACTGTGACCTCTGCTTTCCCCTCAAATGCTGTGGATCAAGCCTCCCCCAACCCCACCATCCCCCCCCAAAGGGGGCTGCTGACCGAGAGGGCTCACTCAGCCAGGTAAGAAAGCATCCCCCTCCCCCACCTTCACCCCAAAGCCCCCATTCCCATCTGGGGCCCTGCGCAGGTCAGGCCCAGCCCCACCCCGTCCGGGCTGCCTTCGCCCTGGGTCTGGGATGCCTGACTCTTTGCCCCTCCCCTGCAGCTCTGGAGTCCTTTGCCCTCATCTTCCTGCCAAGTCAGGGGGCCCTGGCTGCTCCCCTGCCCCCTGTCCTGGGGCCCTCTGGAGGCTCCCTGAGGCCTCTGGGAAGGCAGGAATCTACCAGCCCTCCCCCACCCCAGCTGGGATCAGGACCTTGGACAGAAAAGAGATGGGCCCCTTTCGAGACTCTTTGGGGCTACTCTGTCTCTGACTCCCTGGCCACCTCCTGCAGGCCTCTGTCCCCCGGTCGGTCGTAACAATTGACAGCACCAAACAGAGTAGGTGTGGGCCCTCGGTTGGGTAAACTTAGTCAAGCTCCGTCCCGGCTCGGAGCCCCAGTTTCCGATTTGTGAAGGAGAGCAGTCAGTAGCTTCTGCCCAGGGCTCCTCTCAACGAGAAGGGAAATCGTTCCCCTGAAACCTCAGCACAGCGCCCAGGAAGTAGCAAACTTCCCCAAGCAGGCGCTGTAGGGAGGAGGTCGGGGAGCCCCTGCAGCCCCCAGGCCACCCTTCCTTCTCCCACACCCCACCCCCCGCCCCTACTAGGTGGGAGGTGGGTTGGCCCAGATCTCTCCAGGCCACCATTCCTACAAGTTAATGATCACAGACCTTATCAGAGCCTTTCGCCATTTATAAATTTATAAAACAAAAGAGAAATAATAAAGCATGTGGGTAATTAGTAACTAGGTCAGCTCTGCTGAGGAGAGGGGCGGCATCGAGCTCAGGACCCACCCAGTTCTCCGGGAGACGGGGAGTCCACCCGCGGATGGGATGTGGAACGGGGAGCCTCTAATGGCGCCTGCTGGTGAGGTGGGGTGCCTGTGGCCGCGCAGGAAAGGGGACCAGCTCCCACCTCGAGGCTCTGTCTGCCTCAGGTAAGAAGGATCTGGACTTCTCTGGCTGAATGCCTGAGTCCCTGGGAGGCCAGGGAAACCCCCAAAACCCCAGCTTCGAGCCCTCCTCCCTGGCCGTGCTCCCTGGCCCCCAGAGCCTACCCTCTGAGGACTCAGCGCAGAAGTGAGGGTCTGGGGAGTGCAAACGATCATAGTGACTAAAAATTTCCACCACCCCCGCCCCCGGTCATCCAGGCGTTTGAACTGGGAATTCAGCCACCTTTTCTCCCGTCTTGGACCCCCGGGAAATGGCCCCCCTTCCCAAAGACTCGGCTGAAGTCTTGGCTCATGGGTTGTGGGACTCTGGAGAGGAGCAGCTCAGGGCTGGAGGCTCAAACGTCCTAGAGAGGACCCCGGGCTCTCAGGGGCCCTGTCCCCCTTCCCGGCAGGTAGGCTCAAGGCTGAAGCTCATGAGGACTCGACTCCGAAGCGGGGCTGCCTAGGAGCTGAGGGGGCCCCGCTAGGCTGTCCCCGGGCGCTGGGACGGGGAAGGGCTGCTTACTGCAGAAGGGTCTCCACCACGGCTTTCTGGTGGGCCGCCTCCTCGGGGCTGAGGTTCTCCAGCTCTTTGAGGATGGGTGGCGTGAAGTCTTCCCCATCGTCGTCCGTCTCGTCCTCGGAGCCCCGAGTCTCTCCCAGCCCATTGGGCAGCTCAGCCAGCTCCCCTCGACCACCGCCGCATGCCTCCCCCTTGTCCAGGGGGCCATCTCCAGCCAGCAGGTAGGGCCCCGGCTCACCCAGCGCCTGGATCAGTGCCTCTTTGCTCAGCCCCGACTCCAGCAGGGCTGCCAGGAGCTCCGTCTGCAGCTGGCTCAGTTTAGAGACCATGGCTCGGCTGCCCCGGGGCCACGCGGCCTGGGTCCACCACGCCAGCCGCCTCCCCCACCACGTGGGTTGCGTTTGCCTGCCGGCCGGTGGACACAAACCAAACACCTTGCACCCACTGCCCCCCCAAAACCCCACTAGCCAAGCCCTGTGGGCACCCCCAACCCCCAACCCTGGCCCCAGCGGCCAGTGAATCAGGGCCCCTGCCTGCTCTGTTTACATTGGAGCTGGGGAAATTCTCCAAGGTTCATATTTATCCGTGTGCTTAGCGAAGGGACTGAACTTTGGACTTCAGCCCTGCAAAGTGCAGGCCTCATGGCAGCAGAGAGGGGCAGGGAGCTATGGCCTTCCATGGGAGTGGGCAGAGGGGAGGGCAGGGGCAGCGCAGATGAGGGGCCCTGAGCAGCTGGGATGGAAGGTGCTGGGAACGGGGAGGCCATTAGGCGAGCAGCATTGGGTCCCACCCCTGAAAGAAGCTTGTCGGGGCATCACACTGAGACAGGAGAGTAAAAACTGTTTGCTGCTGGCCGGGCACGGTGGTTCAGGCCAGTAATCCCAGTACTTAGGGAGGCTGAGGTGGGCGGATCACCAGAGGTTGGGAGTTCGAGACCAGCCTGGGCAACATAGTGAAACCCCGTCTCTACCAAAAATACAAAATTAGTCAGGTGTGGTGGCACACACCTGTGATCCCAGCTACTCAGGAGGCTGAGGCAGGAGAATCGCTTGAACCCGGGAGGCGGAGGTTGCAGTGAGCTGAGATCGCACCTCTGCCCTCCAGCCTGGGCAACGAGAGCGAAACTCCATCTCAAAAAAAAAAAAATGCTTGCTGCTTAAGGAGAGCAGCCACAGCAGGGTGCTCTGGAAAGACCACTGGGCTAGCTCTTCTCAAGGGCAGAGGAAGCGCACGGCCATTTTGGGACCCTTCCACCCCACTCCCGGCCTGACACCAGGCCTCCCCTGTGTAGGAAAATGTATGTTAAGGCTGCCATGTGCCGAGAACAGTGTGGCGGTCTGTAAGCACGACTTCACTTCATTGCATTCTGCTGCCAATTCTGAGTAGGTACCAGGATTATCCCCATTTTATAGGGGCGGAAATCGAGGCTCTGAGAGGTAAGCAACGTGTCCAAGGTCACACAGCCAGCAAGGAACAAGACTTGCAAGGTGAGACTGAGTTGAGGCGAGTGTGGCACTTGCCCTGGGTGCAAATTTATCTTGTACTTTTTGAGCTAAGTTCTCACTCTGTCACCCAGGCTGGAGTGCAGTGGCTCCATCACGGCTTACTGGAGCCTTGACTTCCTGGGTTTAGGTGATCCTCCCGCCTCAGTCATCCAAGTACCCAAGTAGCTGGTGCTACAGGCACACACCATCACGCCCAGCTTATTTTGTGTGTATGTTGTGTGTGTTTTGGGGTGTGTGTGTTTCAGATGGAGTCTCGCTTTGTCACTCAGGTTTGGAGTGCAGTGGAGCGATCTCAGCTCACTGCAACCTCTGCCTCCTAAGTTCGTGATTCTCCTGCCTCAGCCTCCCGAGTAGCTGAGATTACAGGCACATGCCACCACATCCAGCTAATTTTTTTGTATTCTTCGTAGAGATGGGGTTTCACCATGTTGGCCAGGCTGTTCCCAAACCCCTGATCTCAAGTGATTCGCCTGCCTCGGCCTCCCAAAGTGCTGGGATTACAGGTGTGAGCCACTGTGCCCAGCCTTGTGTGTCTATTTTTTCTGGAGATATGGTTTTGCCATGCTGCCCAGGTTGGTCTCAAACTCCTGGCCTCAAGCCATCCACCCGCCTCAGCCTCCCAAAGGCTAGCATTACACACGTGAGCCTGGCAGCCCCAGGTGCAAATTTTAAAGGAGTGCCAAGAAACCCAGTTATCAAGGTAAATAACATTTTTATGCGCTATATTTTTAAAATTAAAATTAATGCAAGACCCCAGCCGGGCGTGGTGGCTCAACCCTGTAATCCCAGCACTTCAGAAGGCCGAGGCGGGTGGATCATGAGGTCAAGAGATCGAGACCATCCTGGTCAATATGGTGAAACCCTGTCTCTACTAAAAATACAAAAATTAGCTGGGCATAGTGGCTCGTGCCTGTAATCCCAGCTACTCAGGAGGCTGAGGCAGGAGAATTGCCTGAACCCGGGAGGTGGAGGTTGCGGTGAGCCGAGATCGTGCCATTGCACTCCAGCCTGGGTAACAAGAGCGAAACTCCGTCTCAAAAAAAAAACTTTCGGCTGGGCACAGTGGCTCACGCCTGTAATCCCAGCACTTTGGGAAGCCGAGGCGAGTGGATCATGAAGTCAGGAGTTCAGGGCCAGCCTTGACAAGATGGTGAAACCCCATCTCTACTAAAAATACAAAAATTAGCCAGGCGTGGTGGCGAGCACCTGTAATCCCAGCTACTTGGGAGGCTGAGGTAGATAATTGCTTGGACCCAGGAGTTGGAGGTTGCAGTGAGCTGAGATTGCACCACTGCACTCCAGCTGGGTGATAGAGTGAGACTGTCTCAAAAAAAGAAGTTAACATTTAGAATAATTTTAAATTAGATTTAATTAATATTAAATTATATTATTTTTATATATGTTAATATAATGTTATATTACATTTAAAATAATTTGGTTTAAATTAAAATTTTATTTATAAAAATAACTTTTTATTTTAAAAATTAAAGAACTCCTAAAAATTAGCTGGGCATGGTGGCGCGTGCCTGTAATCCCAGCTACTCAGGAGGCTGAGGCAGGAGAATTGCCTGAACCCAGGAGGCGGAGGTTGTGGTGAGCCGAGATCGCGCCATTGCACTCCAGCCTGGGTAACAAGAGCGAAACTCTGTCTCAAAAAAAAAAAAAAAAAAAAAAAAAAAAAAAAAAAAATTAAAGAACTCCTGGTCTCAAGTGATCCTCCCACCTCAGCATCCCAAGTAGCTAGGACTACAGGTAGGCACCATCACACCCAGCTTGCTCATTCATTCATTCATTCATTTATCTTTTTTGTTTTTTGCGACGGTCTCCTTCTGTTGCCCAGGCTGGAGTGCAGTGGCACAATCTTGGCAAACTGCAACCTATACCTCTGGGACTCTAGTGATCCTCCCACTTCAGCCTCTGCAGTAGCTGGGACTACAAGCGTGTGCCACCATGGCTCGCTAATTTTTGAATTTTTTGTAGAGACGAGGTTGTGCCATGTTGCCCAGGCTGGTCTCAAACTCCTGGGCTCAAGCAATCCTCCCACCTCAGCCTCATAGGCATGAGCCATCTCACATAGCCGGTAATGTATTTCATTCTGAGAACAACTCTATGAATTAGGAACTGTTCTAATTCCCCTTCTCCAGGGAGGAAAGAGGCTCAGCGAGGTTACATGACTGCTCAGATCCCTCAGAGCTGGGCTTCAGGTCCCCCTGAGCCAGGCAGGCTGGCTGTGCAGGAGTAGTTGACAGCTCTTGCCTTAAGCAGAGTGGTACCCTCATTCATCCGGTGCATTTATTTACTTATTTATTTATTTGAGATAGTCTCTCTTTATCGCCCAGGCTGGAGTGCAGTGGTGCGATCTCGGCTCACTGCAACCTCTGCCTCCTGGGTTCAAAAAATCCTCCTATCTCAGCCTCCTGAGTAGCTGGGACTACAGGCGCATGCCACACACCCGGCTAATTTTGTATTTTTAGTAGAGACGGGGTTTCACCATGTTGGCCAGGCTGGTCTCGAACTCCTGACCTCAGGTGATCTGCCCTTCTCGACCTCCCACAGTGCTGGGATTTACCAGCATGAGCCACCACGCCCGGCCAAGTGCATTTTTTGGTAAACCCCCGTTCAAGTTGCTTTGAGGTTGAGCCATTTACTGCTGGTGACAGCATTTTCAAGTACAGGCTAAAGGACAGGGAAGAGGCTGGGTGCTGTTCCTTCGTGGCTTGGAGGCTCTCCTGCTTATTCTCCTTGCCGCCTGCAGCCGCCCCTTGCTGACTTTCCCTTTCCAGGGAGCCAGAGGGAGCAAAGGGGGTGGGGCCTGACTCCTGTCCCCAGCATGTAAACTCATGAACAGCTGGGTCCTCAGGCTGAGCATTTGAGTCTGGAACGGCAGGTGGATTTGGTGGGAGAGGGAATGACAGAGATTGGGGAGGAGCCTCCAGGGAGTCTAAGGAGAGAGGTACACAAGCGGAAAGTTCCAGCCCCTAGCCTGCCCTTCCCCCACACTCAGAAGCCAAAGCTGAATTAACTCAAGGTCAGGAGTGGCATTTGCATTCTTGAGAATCACTGCAAAGAAGAGCTGTAGTCATGGCTGAGTGGTTAAGGCAACAGACTAAGGAATCACTGAAGGAAAAAAACGAATAGTGGCCGGGCGTGATGTCTCACGCCTGTAATCCCAGCACTTTGGGAGGCCAAAGTGGGCACATCACTGCGGTCAGGTGTTCAAGACCAGCCTGGCCAACATGGTGAAAACCTGTCTCTACTAAAAATGCAAACATTATCTGGGCATGGCGGTGGGCACCTATAATCCCAGCTACTCTGGAGACTGAGGCAGGAGAATTGCTCTAACCCAGGAGGTGGAGGTTGCAGTGAGCCAAGATGGTACCACTGTGCTCCAGCCTGGGTGACAGAGCAAGACTCCGTCTCAAAAAAAAAATTGAAAATTAAAAATTAGCCGGGCGCGGTGGCTCACGCCTGTAATCCCAGCACTTTGGGAGGCCGAGGTGGGCGGATTACGAGGTTAAGAGATTGAGACCATCCTGGTCAACAAGGTGAAACCCCGTCTCTACTAAAAATACAAAAAAATTAGCTGGGCATGGTGGCGCGTGCCTGTAATCCCTGCTACTCAGGAGGCTGAGACAGGAGAATTGCCTGAACCCAGGAGGCGGAGGTTGCGGTGAGCCGAGATCGCGCCATTGCACTCCAGCCTGGGTAACAAGGGCGAAACTCCGTCTCAAAAAAAAAAAAAAAAAAAAAAATTAGGCCGGGCGCGGTGGCTCAAGCCTGTAATCCCAGCACTTTGGGAGGCCGAGGCGGGTGGATCACAAGGTCAAGAGATCGAGACCATCCTGGTCAACATGGTGAAACCCCGTCTCTACTAAAAATACAAAAAATTAGCTGGGCGTGGTGGTGCGTGCCTGTAATCCCAGCTACTCAGGAGGCTGAGGCAGGAGAATTGCCTGAACCCAGGAGGCGGAGGTTGCGGTGAGCCGAGATCGCGCCATTGCACTCCAGCCTGGGTAACAAGAGCGAAACTCCGTCTCAAAAAAAAAAAAAAAAAAAAAATTAAACAGGTATGTTTAGTAAGTGCAGTAGGTAGGCCAAGACAACCACTAAGTATGTCCTAACAACTTAGTAGCTGCTTGAAAAAAATAGTGCACGTAAATTAAGAGAAAAAGCAATATTTTCGCTCATTCTTAGCTACCTTTAAGGATGCACTAACGGGATGCGTGTGCCTGCTGCGCTGTCCACAGCTGCTCAACCCTTGAATTACCACCCTCGTTTCCTGTTACACAATAACTTTGTATGGCACTTGCTTTTTATCACAGCTGCCATGCCCTTGGCTTCACAGAAATCTTGTCATTGTGGAAAGGAAGGTCCTTCCATCGAACATTCAAACTTAATTCCTCTGAGCTGGTAGTTTGCAAGGTGTCCGGCAGGTGTCGCTGTGTTTCCTTCACAAATTCTCTCAAATACTCTGCTGTGTCCTGGGACCCAGTAGATTGTCAGTAAATGGTGGCTGTGAGTTTTATCAAGTGCTCTCCTCCAGGGTGAGCAGCTGCTTGCCAGGTTAGAATTCGGGTAAGGCACAGGCTTCCCGCTTGGTCTTAGCAGCCAGCACAAGACGAGTGTCCCTTCAGCCAGTCTCAGAGCACTTTTGCAATTCAACTGACCTTTGTCCTTCAGTCCAGACAATGCCCCAGGGCCCTCCTGCATTCGGACGGACTGTCCTTCTCACCCTCTACCTTTGCAACTTTATGGACAGTAATGCAATGTTCTCATCCATTTTCTCATTTAATATCTAACAGCCTCATAATATCCCCATTTTACAGATAAGGAAAGCAAGGCATTAAGAAGATAAGGAACCTCATCAGCTAAGGCAGATTTAAGATTTGAACTTGGATCTCCATGATGCCAGAATCTAAACCTTGACTAAATATTTGTTACTATTACTTTTGTTGCTGTTGTTGTTCTGGGTAACTCCAACCCTCTGCTCACTGCCCTCGTCACCGCCGTGCTGATTTCGCAGGTGAAGAGACTTAAGGTTCCGAGGGGCTAGAGCACAGTGCCTGGGTTTGAGCCTAGCTCCGCCGTTTACCAGCCATATGACCTTGGGCAACTTGCTTAACTTCTCTGTGCCTCAGTTTCCCCTTCTCTTGGGTTAGGAGAATGAATAAAGTAATATCCACAGTGCCCAACACCCTGTAAGCGGCCAGGTGCTGTGGCTCACACCCACAACCCCAGCACTTTGGGAGGCCAAGGCAGGCGGGTCATTTGAGGTCAGGAGTTTGAGACCAGCCTGGCCAACATGACAAAACCTCATCTCTACTAAAAATACAAAAATTAGCCGGGCGTGGTGGCGCCTGCCTGTAATCCCAACAACTCGGGAGGCTGAGGCAGAAGAATCACTTGAACCCGAAAGACGGAGGTTGCAGTGAGCCGAGATCCAACTGCTGCACTCAAGCCTGGGCGACAGAGCGAGACCCTACCTCAAAAAATCAAAAATCGAAATAAAAAACAAACAGTGCCCAACCCCCCGAAAGCATTCCACATGACTGAACGATCACTGCTATGTGATTACTAGCATGACCACCCCACGCCCCTTGGCCAAACCGAGTTCTCTTCTCTTGTAAAAACTTCTCCATATGAAGTCACTGATTCCATTTGACCCTTTAGCCCTCACCCTGGCATTCAAGGGCATGGACAGCTCCACCCCACGCTCTGGCCAGGCTGACCTCTTCCTTCCCTTCTCTGGCGTAGACGGCCTTCTTGCCACCTCCACCACCTGCCCCTACCCCCTGCCCAATTCTGTCACCCCGTACTGTGTTGAAGCTCCCAAGAGAGACAGCTGCAGTCATCACTGTCCACTCTGTTCAGTGAGGTCAACTCGGCCCAGCTGGGGGTAGTCACATCATGGAAACAGTCAGTCAGATTTGGTGTGTGTGTGTTTTATTTTGCTTTTTCAGAGAGCCGGTTGTTAAATATTAGCCAGCCCTCCTTGATGCTGTTCTTTCTACCTGAAACACCTCCCCGCTGCCAGTGAGCTCCAGAGACAAAAGCACCTGGGTCTGCGTTTCCCAAAGGCAAGAATCTGGTGTCGCTTGCGTGTTATTTGCCACGTCTGAGCACCGCTGCCTGTCGCATTATTTACCTAGCAGTTTTGCTCCTGTCAATGCACGTTTAAAAAATTAAACTTAGCGGGGAAAAGAAAAAAATAATAATAAAAATAAAATTAAACTTATTTTAACAAGAAAAGCTTTATGTAATTTTAATACACAGAAAACCAGTGTCCTGGCCAGGCACAGTGGCTCATGCCGGTAATCCCAGCACTTTGAGAGACCAGGCAGGAGGATCACTTGAGATCGGAGGTTCAAGACCAGCTTGACCAACATGGTGAGACCCCGTCTCTACTAAAAATATAAAAATGAGCCAGGTACAGTGGCACTGGCCTGTCATCCCAACTACTTTGGGTGGCTGAGGCATGAGAATGGCTTGAATCCAGGAGGCAGAAGTTGAGGCTGCAGTAAGCCAAGATCTCACCACTGCACTCCAGCCTGGGTGATGGAGTGAAACTCTGTTGCCATAAATAGCGAGCAGTCATTAAAACATGGAAACAAAGCAGGCAGGCTTGCTCTCCTTTCAAGAGAAGGCCCTAAGCCCAAGGAGGGTTTCTCTATGTTAAAAGGCAATCAGGCAGCAGTCAGAGGGGTGTGAAAGATAGCCTCTAGCACCTAACCAAACCATTCTCCTCCATGCAAGCACTTTAGATGGGCTAAAGAGAGAGCGTTCTCCCCCCATGTACATATCACCTACAATTACCACCTGTACCACTATTTTGCCAGCGCTGCGGGCAAGAGTAAATGTGGACGCCTTAGCCTGGCACCCAAAGCCTCCTCCGTCGGAATCTTTCCAGCCTCTTCTTGCATGCCGCTCCATGCCCAGGCCTCACCCACTGTATTTGCCATCAGAGAACATACCTCGAACGGTCTCACCTCTGTGGCTTTGTACAAGCTGCTCTCTCTACCTGGAAACCTTCATTTGTCAAGCTGCTACTGTCTTCAAGATCTTCCTGGTCAGAATCTCCTGCTGTCCTCTTCTGCCACCTGCAGCAATGTGAGCTTTCACTGGCTGGCCTTCCTACTCACTGGAGCAGTGCTAACAGCATCAGAGTGCCCGGGACCAGGGGTTAGAAATACGGACTCCTGCCGGGCGCGGTGGCTCAAGCCTGTAATCCCAGCACTTTGGGAGGCCGAGGCGGGTGGATCACGAGGTCAAGAGATCGAGACCATCCTGGTCAACATGGTGAAACCCCGTCTCTACTAAAAATACAAAAAAGTAGCTGGGCATGGTGGCACGTGCCTGTAATCCCAGCTACTCAGGAGGCTGAGGCAGGAGAATTGCCTGAACCCAGGAGGTGGAGGTTGCGGTGAGCCGAGATCACGCCGTTGCACTCCAGCCTGGATAACAAGAGCGAAACTCCGTCTCAAAAAAAAAAAAAAGAAATACGGACTCCAAAGTCTACACTCAAGGATCTTTTTCTTCTTTTTTTTCTCCCCAATTTATTTTTATTTTAAAGATGGGGTCTTGCCATGTTGCCCAGGCTGGTCTTGAACTCCTGGGCTCCAGCAGTCCTCCCATCTTAGCCTCCCAAAATGCTGAGATTACAGGCATGAGCCGAGCCACGGCACCCAGTCCCAAAGATTTTGATTTAGTAGGTCTGGGGTGATGATCTTTGCATCACAGGACAGAGAGAGGAATATTGTTCTCTGTAAAAAAATAATAATAATAATAATAATTAATTAATTAATTAAAATGTATTTTTATGAAATATATTTGAAAGAGATGTAGAAGGACATACTCCAAACTGTCAACATCAGTTGCCTTTGGCAGGGAGGGATACACAAAAATAAAAATGATAGCAGGGCAGGGGAAAAGAATTTAAAAGCCCTCCATGAAACATTTCATGTACACTGAAGTCATACAGTGTATATATATATTTTATTTATTTATTTTTTTTTTTGAGACAGAGTTTCGCTCTTGTTACCTAGGCTAGAGTGCAATGGCGCGATCTCGGCTCACCGCAACCTCCGCCTCCTGGGTTCAGGCAATTCTCCTGCCTCAGCCTCCTGAGTAGCTGGGATTACAGGCACGCGCCACCATGCCCAGCTAATTTTTTGTATTTTTAGTAGAGACGGGGTTTCACCATGTTGACCAGGATGGTCTCGATCTCTTGATCTCATGATCCACCTGCCTCGGCCTCCCAAAGTGCTGGGATTACAGGCTTGAGCCACTGCACCCGTCCCCAGTGTATATTTTTATATCAGAATGAACGACAGCTGGCCGTATAGAAAGACGGTCTCCAAAGACGTATCTGCAGTTATCTCTAGGTGGTGAAATGTGGGTGATTTTTACTTTCTTGTTTATTCCTTTCTGCATTATTTCATTTTTTATTTTATGTTATTTATTTTTGAGACATAGTCTTGCTCTGTCACCTAGACTGGATGGAGTGCAGTGGGTAGATCTCGGCTCACTGTAAACTCCATCTCCTGGGTTCAAGTGAATCTCCTGCCACAGCCTTCCAAGTAGCTGGGATTACAGGTGCCCGCCACTACACCCAGATGATTTTTGTCTTTTTAGTAGAGACAGGGTTTCACCATGTTGGCCAGGCTGGTCTTGAACTCCTGACCTTAGGTATCCACTCACCTCGGCCTCCCAATATTTTTTATTTTATCTTTTTTTGGGACAGGGGCTTGTTCTATTGCCAAGACTGGAGTGAGGTGGTATAATCACAGCTTACTGCAGTCCTGACCTCCTGGGCTCAAGTGATCCTCCCACCTCAGCCTTCTGAGCAGCTGGGACAACAGACATGTGCCACCATGCCCAGCTTTTTTTTTTTATTTTTAATAGAGATGGGGCGTCTCACCATGTTGCCCAGGCTGGTCTCCAGCTTCTGGGCTCAGGTCATGCCCCAGAAATGTTTGCCCAACAGATTCAATCCACAATTTCTGAAGGCATTTCTCATGGTTTGCTGAAGGCATCTCGTCATTCCAATTAAATTGTAAACTCCAGGAGCGCAGGGACCACGATGACCTTCACCTCACCCCCCTCATCCCTGCCCAGCTCTGGTCTGGGCACACAGTGACCCTCAAGGGCAGCACCAAGACCTGAGGCAAGAAAAACACCTGTAGAAGGAAAAGGCTGGAGCCTGGTAGCACCTCGTCTGCTCTCCTGCCATTCTCTTCTTCAACAGCAAAGGACACGCTAGTTCCATGCAGCAGAAGTTTCCAAACACGTTCGCTTAAGAATTTTGAGTCATGCCAAAAATAAATAAATAAATAAATAAATTCCCAGAGTCCCAGGGTTAAAAAAAATCAGATTCCACAGCCCCACCCTTGTTCCTGAGTCAGACTCCCCGACCAAAGTGCCAGAGAATCTTAGAACAAACACTTCAGGCCGTTTTCCCAGGATAAAGCAAGTTTCAGAAACTGTCTCACACAGCGACTCGGGTATCTCAGATGTGGCTCTTGCCCTCGAGATGTTTACATAAGAGAACAAGAAACCTGGTTCCAACAAGCAAAAGCCCAGAGAGACCTCAAATACAAAGACGCAAATAAGATTAGTAGAGAAATGCATTAGCCGGGACTTTGTCCTTCAGTCGCAGGGCTGGCTGTTGGAAGGTCTGCGGTAGACATTCCAGCTCTATGACCTTGACCAAATCTCGTGTCCACTCTGGGCCTCCGTTTCCGCATCTGTAGTGGGGATATGTGGGCGTCACCCACAGCGTTGTTGTGAGAATTCGACAAGGTAAAATGCAGCTGTGAATATAGCAAGCTGGCATTTGATTAAATGTTAGTTTCATCCTGAGAAAAACAGCTAATGTTTCTGAGCACTTACTGCCCAGCCCCGTGCTAAGTGCTTTACGTTCACTTGCTCCTTTAACTCCCACAAAAACCCTATGAGGCTGAGCACAGTGGCTCACGCCTATAATCCCAGCACTTTGGGAGGCTGAGGTGGGAGGATCACGAGGTCGGGAGATCAAGACCAGCCTGGCCAACATGGTGAAACCCCATCTCTACTAAAAATGCAAAAATTAGCTGGGTGTGGTGGCGCGTGCCTGTAATCCCAGCTACTTGGGAGGCTGAGGCGGGAGAATTGCTTGAACCCAGGAGGCAGAGGTTCCTGGTGCAATGAGCCAAGATCACACCATTGCACTCCAGCCTGGTGACAGAGCCTATGAGGTAGATTCTATTACTATCCCCATTTCACAGATGAGAAAATCAAGGCACAGAAAGGTTAAAAAACATGCTCAGGCCAGGCGTGGTGGGTCACCCCTGTAATCCCAGCACTTTGGGGAGGCTGAGGCTGGAGGATTGCTTGAGGCCAGGAGTTTGAGACCAGCCTGGGCAACACAGCAAGACACTATTTCTACAAAAAAAAAAAAGTGTTTAAAGCTAAGTGCAGTGGTTCACACCTATAATCCCAACACTTTGAGAGGCTGAGGCAAGTGAACTCTTAAGCCCAGGAATTCAAGACCAAACTGGGCAACATAGTGAGACCCTCTCTCTTAAAAAAAGAAAATCAGCTGGGTGTAGTGGTGCATGCCTATGATCCCAACTACTCAGGAGGCTGAGGAGAGGGGAGGATCACTTGAGCCCAGGAGTTTGAGGTTGCAGTGAGCTATGATTGTGCCATTGCACTCCAGCCTGTGTGACAGAGAAAGGTCTGTCTCATAAATCAAATAAATAAATAAATAAATAAATAAATAAATAAATAAGTACCCAAGAGCTGGGGTTAGAGCCCAGAAAACCTATCCTGTAGCCCCAGGAGGAAATAGCCTCATGGGAGCAAAACCACACAGTGTTTAGGACTTCTGGAAATTACATATGGCTTCTTTGGGAAAAGTGACCCATTCAGCTGAGCAGAACCCAAAACAACAAAGGGGCCAAGTTCAGCCCGCCTGCCCTACGTGTGCCCCGCCCCCCGCACCCCGCTGGGATTCCTAGCCCTGCCAGTTTTCCCAGATTGGGCAACACGCATCTGAATCCCTGGGACCAGGAAGTGCCAATGCCTGGGTCTTGCTAAAGCCACTTCTTGACAGATGTCCCAAGTGTCATTTAGTCACCGCCTCAGTGCAGAACCTCATCCCTCCCAGAAAGCCACAGCTTCTGGACTCCACCTGCTGAAAACAGGGCTTTTGCGGGAATACGACG